GCAGACTTAGTCTTGGCCTTTAAGACCTGGCCCAAGAGTCATCTTCTGGAAGTTTTTCCTCCCCCTTGTCTTTGCCCTATGAGAATGGATTGTTCTTTGTTCTACTTACCTGGTCGCTTCTGAGGAATTGTTGGCTGTACTTACAGACTTTTGACACTAGGTGGCATCTGTTTATAGAAAAGTCAAATGCTGTTTGGGGCTCCGGGAAGAGTAACAAAGGAAGCAACCTTGATTTTATTTACAGGTCCTACCAGGGATGCAGGTGGATCAGACGTGGAGAGATGGGGAAGCAGGTGGTTTTGTTTTGTTTTTGTGGAATTTCTCCCAACAACTGCATCAGCTAAAACCTTTACTTTGGAAATACCTGCCGAGACCATTGGAGACACGAATCCTTTGTTGTGATACCTATTGGATGTGGCTAAATAAGGGCCTGTGAATCCATGTGTTTTGTACTGAAGCCATTAGAGAGGGTGGATTATGTGTCCGGTAGCAGATCAGGGGCCCACACGCAGGCTTCAGTGCTGTGCTGTCTGCTCCTGGACTTGCCGGTAGTGCGTGTCGTGCAATTGTTGACGTTCTGCTACATGAAAAATCTCATCTGTGAGTTTTGATTTTCGTTCTTATTGTAAAATGTGTATGTACGTATAAAAAAAAATGTTCGTTCGTAACACTTCTCCGGAAGGTCTTGATTATCTGGGGCTAAAGCACAGTGCATCAGCAAAATGTGTGAGATACTAGCTTTATCTCCGAAATCTGTATCTCTCTCTTTCTGTCGCCATGATTTATAACTGCAGTTGAAGGGGAAGAATAATTGTTTTTAAGAATATATTTAAAACAACTTTTTAAAGGTGTTTATAAGTTTTTCCTGTGATACATTGCAATTTTATATGATTTGGGGATCTGGTTACTGTGAAGCATTTTTACTTCGGTTTACCTTTGTCACGGTCTCTATATTAGTTTCTTGTGGCTGCTGTCACAAATTACCATAAGGTTGGTGGCTTAAGACAGCAGAAATGTATTCTCAGCTGGGGAGAAGTTTGCCAGCTGGTTCACAAGGCCAAAATCAAGGTGTGGGAGGGCTCCCCCTGGAGGCTGTAGGAGAGAAGTCTATCCCTCGCCTCCGCCCCCTCGTACATCCTTGCCTCTCCTCTTGGGCGCGTGGTGTCACATCTCCCTCCGCTGCTCCCTTGTAAGGTCGCTTGTGATAGCGTTTAGAGCCACTCAGATAACCTGTTTCATCTCAGAACCCATAACTTGACTTCTCTGCAAAGACCCCTTTCCTTATAAACTGACATTCACAGGCTCCAGATTAGGCCCTGATACCTCTGGGCACCGTTTTCCAGCCCTACTATAGTCTCCTTGTAGCACTCAGCACAGCTGGTCAGCATGAGTCCTAATCCCGTCTCTGGCCTCAGTTTTTCCTACAAGGGGGTGGATGGAGCATTAGGAGGCATTGTGGGAAATTGCTCCCAGACAGGTGCCATCTCTTCTCAGAAGGGGCTTCACCACCTGAGGCTGCCTGAGGACACTGTTAAGTTGTGGCTGGAGCAAAATTCTTGATAGGTTTGACCCTACAAAAGCTGGAAAAAGAGCAGAAATGATATGTAGTCGTGTAACTTCCCAAATGACACTTCTTTCTGACAGTATTTCTTAGGGCAAGTTGTAAGCTTACAGGTCTGATCATAAATTCATGATAGTTTTCTAACAAATTGCAAGTGAGTAACTGTCTTGTCAAAGTGTATTACAGTCTTATTGCATTGCAATATGGGGTGTTGTTGATCACGTGCTTCTGAGAGCTTTACGGGGGCTTCTTTTTTTTTTTTTTAAATTTTTTTTTTTTAATGTTTTATTTATTTCTAGGAGAGAGAGAGAGACAGCGTGAGCAGGGGAGGGTCAGAGAGAGAGGGAGTCACAGACTGAAACAGGCTCCAGGCTCCGAGCTGGCAGTCAGCACAGGGCCCGACGCGGGGCTCGAACCCACGAACCGCGAGATCATGACCTAAGCGAAAGTCGGACGCTTAACCGACTAAGCCACCCAGGCGGGGGGCTTCTTCTTTTGGCCTGATAGTATAAATTATTATTTTAGAATTCCGTAGAACTTTGGATATGTATTGATTATAGATGGATTTGGCATAATTTGATAAAGACTGATTTGCAATTCCTTGATATATTATTGTATATTGAATCTAAAGTTCCTTTTGTAAGTTTAGATTCGGAAGAGAGCACTAATCACCCATTGGGCCTATACGTAGCAGTTAGGTTTGAGCCTGGAAAGGGAGATGTGATATGAACGGACCTGTGGTTTGTCGGGCCTTGTGCTAGGTCCCAGCGATCGCAGCGTGCCCCTCAGCCTGCGTGCAGTGGGGAAGCCAAGTGTTGTCAAGTAATGACACAAAGAAGTGAGGACAGTTGTGACAGGCACCATGGAAGAGAAACCTTCGAACAGGGCAGCCCGTGGGCTCAGGGACTGGGAGTTGGGGGGACCGCTGGGCAGCGTGACAGCATCCCAGGCACAGAGGCTGCGTACACGCCTGGCACACTAGCGGGATGAGACCCGGGCCGGGCTGGGCCTGCGGGTTTAGCTGGAGCGAGGGGACAGAGGGGCAGGGCCTTCTGGGACCAGCAAGGTGAGTTGTGTTACTGGTAGTTCTTAACAATTTCCAAGTGTTATTTTTGTTTCCGCCATTGCACGGAGGCCCCAGAAGGGAAACTGGATTTATGCTTCACTGGTGGGACCTCGTTGGCACCTACCCCAGCCTGCGAAGTCCCTCCTGGCCCAGTGAGGGCGCTTTTGTTCTTTACTGGGAGGGCAGGTGTTTTGTGTTCTCTCTGGACAGTGCTTTCTTTCATTTTTATGCTTTTTATTTGTGTTTGTCTTCCTTGTGCTTATTTTAACAATAAAATTCCAGGAAGTCTGGGACTGTGGCCCTTGAATGTCACAGAGTCCCTAAGCAAAGGCGTCAGAAACTTGTGGAAGTATTCAGTGACATGTTAGACTTCCCTCATGTTTGAATTGCTGTATTTAAGGTTTTAGAAATTGGCTTTAACAACGTGTATAAAAATGATGCAGAAGGATTTTTGTGATGTCGGTCTTATTTTCCTTTTAACATCTCTTGTGTTCAAATTTTTGTTATAAAAGTAATACATGCTCATTTTAAAAGGCTGTACCTTGTGAAAAATAATCGTGAAACAAAAAAATTGCTTGTGATCTCATTCTCCAGAGATAATTCTCTTAACTATTTGGTGTTTTGAATTGTTTTGTTACTGTATTGTAGCTGAATCACTTGAAAGTTGTTTGCTCTGTTCTTAGTAAAGTTTTCGAAAAGTCCTCGGCAGGCTTTTTTTTTTTTTTTTTAAACCTGCTTTTTAAAACTATTTGTAGGGGCACTTGAGTGGCTCAGTGATTAAGCATCAGACTTTTGATTTCATCTCAGGTCGTGATCTCACGGTCATGGGATTGAGCCCCACATCAGGCTCCACACTGAACACGGAGCCTGCTTAAGATTAAGATTCTCTCTCCCTCTCTCTCTGCCCCTCTCCCCTGCTAGCACTCTCTCTCTCTCTTTTTCAGAATAAATAATAAACACTAAAAATGTGTGCTACCTTTTCAACCACATGGGACTTGTTTCTTTGCCGTAGGATAATTTCTCTAAGATAAGCTATCTGAGACCAGTTCAACATGTAATCTGGCTAGAGAATGCTTTTTCTTTTTTTTTTTTTTTTTAAGGTTTATTTATTTTGAGAGAGAGAGAGGGAGGGAGACTGCATGAGTGGGGAGGGGCAGAGAGAAAGGAAGAGAAAGGATCCCAAGCAAGCCCCATGCTGCCAGCACAGAGCTCAACTTGGGGACTGATCTCACAAACTGAGATCACCACCTGAGCCGAAATCAAGAGTTGGATGCTCGCCTGACTGTGCCACCCAGGCTCACCTGCTTAGAAAATTCTTGAGAGTGTCATAGGAATTATATTGAAAATTCTTGATTATTCAAAATCATTGTTTTCATTTTTCTGACACAGTTTTTAAAATTCTCGTTTGTGTTTAAGACATTCAAGAAGAAACGTCCAAAACCTTAAAGTAGGAAAGGATTGGAACCAGAGTTTTCAAATTGGGCCTGAGCACCTGAGTCAGGAGTCCCCGAACAGTTTATAGCCCATGTGTCTGTACAGGGACAGTGTAGAAAGACAGGACACTGACGTTTGTTGATGCTCCGTTACTGCTGCGAGCATTGCAGGCCCTTGATGGGAACCAAGCGCATTGTCTGTGAAACGGCTTTGCTTTCCTTTGAAAACTTTTCAAGTATTGGGGGGATTTTTTGTGTAATTTTTTTTCCAATTATAAATAGACTTACTGTAAACGTTTGGAGGGTGAATTTTAGGTTGGGAATGCTGTGGGTGATTTGGAATGGGGGGGTGTGCCTCTTAGTGGTGTTATAAAAAGTTTCCTCTTTTTTAATAAACATCTTTTTAAATTCTTCTTTATGTTTATTTATTTATTTTTGAGAGAGAAACAGTGTGAGTGGAGGCGAGGGAGTGAAGCAGAGAGAGGGGATCCCAAGCAGACTCTGCGCCATCAGCACAGAGCCCAGTGGGAGGCTCCAACTCAAGAAACTGAAATCATGACCTGAGCCAAAACCAAGAGTTGGACACTTCACCAACTGAGCCACCCAGGCGCTGTAAACATTTTTTATTTTTAACCTCTACACGCCTCGAACCACGACCCTGAGATCGAGTTGGTACTCCACCAACTGAGGCAGCCAGGCGCCCCTAAAAAGTTTCTCTTTAAACACAACTGTAAATCTTTAAATATCGTCCTCTTTAAGTGCAGCTCTTTTTTTTAAACTTTTTTATTATTAACATTTTTTATTTTTGAGAGAGACAGAGCACGAGTGGGGGAGGGGCAGAGAGAGACAGAGGCAGAATCCGAAGCAGGCTCCAGGCTGTGAGCTGTCGGGCTTGGGCAGGGCTCGAGCTCATGAACCGCGAGATCATGACCTGAGCCAAAGTCAGACTCTTAACTGACTGAGCCCCTAGGCACCCGCCCACCCTTGTTTTCACTTCGTGGTTGGTAGTAGAATCTGAAGTAGGTGCTTCCTTCCCCTCCTGTTGACTTCAGAGTGGATGACCCTCTCGGGACGGGAACTGGCTGTCCCCGAGTGCTGTCTCAACTGTGTTTCAGTGGAGGCTGCTTGCACTGTTCTTGTGAGCACCCGTAAAAGTAGAGGGCACAGGGCCCCCCGCGGCACCCTCAGGACCACCACCCGTTACGATCAGGTGCTCTTCATTACTCCTGCAGAGAATGAGTCTGGTTGTTTAAAAACTTGTTGAAGAAAGAGCCCTTCTATACCCTGAAGGCTTGCTGAGCTCAGACCAACCTTCCCCCCGTCTCCCTCCCCTGAGTTGAGTTTCTGTGTGTTCTTTCGGTTGTGTGCAGCTTTCTCTCATTTGAAACAAACGGCATAGGACTTAGGACTCTTTCTCTTCATTGTTCCCTGTGTTCCCCTCTGCCGTCTAACCCTCTCCCCTCGAGCCCCTGTTTGAAGACCTCAGTCCTTTCTCAGATCACCGGCGGCCCATCCTGTCCTGAGTTTTGATGCCTAAGAGAGCTTTGCCTTGTGAGCCACTCCCGCCCTTCCTGAAGCGCCGGCCCCTGTTTGCGCTTGCTTCTCCCCCTCACTAGCTGCTCCTCTCAGCCTCTGCTGCTGGTTCCCAGTCCGCGGGCTGCTCCCTCTGTCCGGAGACTTCTTTCGCCTGCACTCACCCCCTGGGCGATTGCGTCTCATCCGTTAGTGCGCTGGCCGGTCTGCACCTGTACTCCGGGCCCCGGGCCCCAGCGGCCCATCTGGCCTCTCTGCTTGGTCTCTCCTGGGCATCTCAAACGTGACCGAAACCCAGCGTCTGCACCCCCACCCCCGCCAGAGCCCGGGCTGCCTCTAGGCTTCGCCGCCTCCCCAAGCTCTGCGCCTCCATTGGGAGGCCTGTCAGTCCTCTTTCCCACAGTCTGCTCGCAGAGCCTGTCTGCGAACCTTCAGGAAGGATCCGCAGCCTGGTATCTTCTTCCCATCTGCGCTGCCCGAGGCCACTGGTACATTGCAGTAGCCTCTTAACTGGTGCCTTCTCGCAGTGGCTTCGTTAGATCTGCTTTCGCAAGCGTCTGTTTGTGAGCTTCCCTCCACATAGCAAGCGGCCCGCGCGGGCCTTTACAGTCGTGACGTAGGCCCGTCAGTCCTGCGTTCCGCGTCCCTGCGAGTCCACACCCAGGTCCCAGCAGCAGCTTTGACACCCCTCATTACTTGTTCTAGCACCCCTTCTGCTCTCCCTCCCGCCGCTTCCCTGCTCACCCCACCGGGCCTCTGCACACCCACTGCTTCTGTCCCTCGGCGGGTGCTTGCCCTCTGCCTAGTGCACTGTCCCCTCTGCGGCCTCCCCTTTCCCCTCCCACCCCTGCGTCACCTGAAACACCCCTTGTCACTTAGAAACCGCTTTATTTTCTCCAAGGTGCTGGCATTTCATTGCCAATTTGTCATTTCCTAGTGACTTTTTCATTAGAATATAAGCACAAGTAAGGGCAGACACCTGCTTTTGTTCTTTGCTCTATCCTCCGGGCCTGGAACTGGAGTAGAATAGATGTCTAATCATTTTCCTGATAGTTTTACACACTTGACCCTTGAACCCCCGTGCAGTCAAAATTCCACGTACAACTTTTGACTACCCGAAACCTTAGCTACTCACAAGTCCACTGTTGACAGGAAACCATATCTCCGAAATAAGTGGTTAACACAAGTTTTGTATATTACATGTATGATACACTGTATTCTACAGGAAAGCTCCAGAAATCCTAAGAAAGAGGAGACACACACAGTGCTGGACTACGTTTATCGGAGAAAGTGGGCATAGAAGTGGACCCATGTTGTTCAGGGTCGGCTGTGCTTGGGAATCGGAACAGAGCAAGATTTGTCATCGTTACTCCATTTAAGGAGTGACCACTACTCTTTGAAATTTTTTTTCTGCCAATTTTGGGATACATTTCAGGTAATTTTCACTTCTGAATATAGTGGCCGGTTAGTTCAGACAGTGCCAACCAAGCCAAGTCCATGGTGGCATCTGTATGTAAGCCAGCTGTGTCCCAGGCCAGAGCGACCGCGCCCTTGCCCGTGTTGGGCGTGGGGCCTCTGTGGGAGCCGTGAAAGGCTTTGGGCTCTGCTAGCCTCCTGCGTCCCCAGCCTCTGGTTCTCCACAGTCTGCTACAGTGTCAGCTGTGTAAGCTTTTGAAATTCCATCTCCACCTTTAATACGTAAGTGTTCTTTCAGCTTGTGGTCTGTGGGAGAGATGGGCCCAGCAGGAACAGCGCCCGCCCTCAGGAGGCCAGAGCCCACAGACGATGACCTCGTAATCAGTAGAGTATATATTCATTGTGAGCTAGAAATTTATAAATAGCTCCCAAATTTCTGATAGTTTCACTAGACCTGGTTTTACAAAATTCATTTGTGAGCTTAAGTAATGTTTTTTGCCTTCATGGTTACTGTCCGGACTACTGGAGTGTGTGGGAGCCTCAGCTAGAATGTATCCATACGTGCAGTCACACCGGTGGAACTCAGCCACGTTCTGTGACTGATGGAGTGACACCTTAGTATCTTAACAGCTCAGACTAAGTAGTATCAGTTGACTGCAATGTAAGTGAGACTGGAGGGCCGCCTGGGAGATGCACTCTAGATTTTGGCTCAGGTCGTGATCTCACGGTCCAGTCCCCAAATCAGGCTCCATGCTGGGTGTGGGGCATGCCTAAGATTCTCTCTGCCCCTCTCCTGTTCACACATACTCACTCTTCTCTCCAAAAACAAAGCAAAAGCAAGCACAAACACAACAAAAAAAAACAAAAAAAAAACTTTTAAAAAATGAGACTTGAGGGGCGCCAGGGTGGCTCAGTTGGTTAAGCATCCAACTTCGGCTCAGGTTCGTTCTCACAGTTTGTGGGTTTGAGCCCCGCGTCAGGCTCTGTGCTGACAGCTCAGAGCCTGGAGCCTGCTTTGGAGTCTGTGTCTCCCTCTCTCTCTGACCCTCTCTCCCGCTCACTCTCTCTCTCTCTCAAAAATGAATATGAATAAACAATAAGAAATTTTTTTTAAATACAAAAAAAAAGAGACTTGAGGTTATGAATTCGCTTCAGTTTGGATGGATCATTAATCCTCATCCTCATCTCATTGAAATTATGTATAATTTCTGTGTTCCACGCACTGGGCTGAAGTGTGCTGCTAAAATGACTTTTTGGTCATTTCTTTTCACTTTTCTTCTCAGGGAGAAATAGGCTGACAGGTCTGATTTCCTCAGATTAAAGTTTTGGCCTGGGTTCTTTGCCCTATCAGATGGTCAGGTGACTGAGGAAGTACCTGAGAGCAAGTGTTCACACCCACAGGCACCTGGAGGGCTTATTACACACAAGTCGCTGTGTTTCACCCCAGGTTTTCTGCTTTTTCTCTCTGAGTGAGAACCTTAGTTGGGACTTAAGATTTCCCTGTGGAGAGATTATCCTTTTATCTCTCATATCTCTGTAAAGCTACGTTGCTCTTTTCTGTTCCATGTGAACATGTGTAGTTATCGTTTATGTCCCATCATCCAGGAGTATCAGGGCTCCTGAGTCCTAAAAACGGTCTTCAGTCATTCTCCCCGAGTTGTGTGTCCCGTGAGGGCGTGCTTGAGACGGACTTCCTGGAGGACCAGACGCACTTCGCCTCGCCCCTTCCTTGTCCTGCGAAGGTGCAGACCAGGGGGCGGAGGCCGGAGGTTGGGTCGTAGGGAGGCGCCTGTGGCCCAGCACTCACATCTTTTTTTTTTTTTTTTTTTAATTTTTAAAAAATGTTTGTTTATCTTAGAGAGACAGAGCCAGAGCCAGAGTGTGAACAGAGGAGGGGCAGAGAGAGAGGGAGACACAGAATCCAGAGCAGGCTCCAGGCTCTAAGCTGTCAGCACAGAACCAGCCACGGGGATCCACCCCATGAACTGTGAGATCATGACCTGAGCTGAAGTCAGATGCCTAACCAACTGAGCCACCCAGATGCCCCAGCACTCACACCTTAAGAAAGAAGAAGACTTGAGGCCCGGTTATAACTGCTATTTTACAGCTTAAAAAACATAAAGAAATAGTACCCGCTAGGAGGCTTAGGCCACAACTTCATTTATTTATTCTTTTGTCACTTGAGTGCCACGATCTACTTTGTGCTGTGCTGGAGAAAAGGAAAATGAGTTCTTGGCCGCAGGAACTCCAGCAGTGAAGGAGGCAGGCAAACCATTGCAATGTAGTGACATGGGGGTTTTCACCTAAGTTTCATAGGGGGGGTGTCCACCTGAACTTGGCAGTGAGGGTCAAGGAAGACCCTGGAGTGTGAAGAGTTTAGCCAGATGAAAAAGATGGGTCACACTGTTTGTTACAGGCACAGGCACAGGAAGAGTGTCACGGGTATTGCCTTTTGCCCAAGCTTTCTTTGCCTCTGTGCTTCAGAAGCTTACTGCTCCTGAGTTCTCTGCCTTTTCTTCTGAGTACACGTACAGGATGTTCAATCATCAGTAGATCCTGTATTTAATCTGATAAAATGTAATAATTGAAAAATCTTGAGCTTCTAACCAATGTATCTGTAGTTTTACCTGCCTTTCCTTTTTTTTTTTAATATTTAAAATTTTTTGTTTATTTTTGAGACAGAGGGTACAAGCAGGGGGAGGGACAGAGAGAGGGAGACATAGAACCCGAGGCAGGCTCCAGGCTCTGAGCTGTCAGCACGGAGCGTGACATGGGGCTCAAACTCAAGAACTGGGAGATCGTGACCTGAGTCGGACACTTAACTAGCTGAGCCACCCAGGCGCCCCATGCCTGCCTTTCCTGTTGTTTGTGCAGTGTTTTTTGGGTTTAGTGAGGCGGACAAGAAGAATGAAAAGATAGGCAAATAAAAGTTGAGTGTTAATTGAATCTAAGTGAAAGAGGCAGGAGAATAACGTGGCGGAGACCAGCTATAAATGGTGTCCTCAGTATGGATCAGACTTTCTTTACCTTCGTACGGAAGCATGTGGCTCACACCCATTTTACCCCATTGTGAATTCACACATAGGTCCTGTGACCGTGGAGGAGACCTGAGGTCAACTAAAAATTAACGTTTTGTATTTTTATTGGGTATCATTAACGGCATGACCAAGTATACATTTCTGGAAGTACCTCAAAATAATATATCACTTGTGTTTTTCTGTGTGTGCGTAAAAAACTAAGGGAAATCGGCCTCTCTGGCATCGCTTCCATCTGTAGATTGGAAGGAGCTGTACTAGGATCTTAAAGTACCTTTAGCTCTAAAGTTTTGTGTTTTTGCACTTTCTTATCCTGGAGCCTTTTTAGTCTGATTTATATTAGAGTATAATTCCATAATGAGGTGATGCCATGGACATCCCTTTCCTCATTCCACTACCAATGAAACGTAATCTGTTATACTCTTATTTCCAAAGGTCCTTACATATTATAAGCATCCCTCACTAGCCAAATCATTCAGTTCCCAAATTCAGCTAATTAAAGTTCAGATGGTGAGGGATAGCTCTATATTAGCAAATATTAGAATTACTCAGTTTTTGTCGCTATTGTAACAGACATTTCATGATGGGCAAGACTGCTATTTGAGGGCCAGTCCCTGAAGTACCTTGAACGTTGACTTCAAACTAACAACAGAAAGACAAAGCTGTGTGGACAAAGCTTAACTGAGACGCCTTTTCTTAGGCTCTTCTCATAACAGAAGAGAGAGCTCCCTGGGACACAGTTAATACACTGTTACCAAAACATGTAATTTTTAATGTTTGTTTATTTGGGGAGGGGACACATGTGCAAGCAGGGGTTGGGGGTGGAGAGAGAGAGTCCTAAGCGGGTTCCACACTGCCAGCACAGGGCCCGATGCGGGGCTTGAACTCAGGAACCCTGAGATTGTCACCTGAGCCGAAATCAAGAGCTGGATGCTTAACCGACTGAGCCACCCAAGCCCCCTTACCAGAATGTATAATTTGAGCAGATCATTGAGCTGTACCTAAATGTCAGCATAACAAGGTGCAAAATGATTCTTACTGGTAACTGAGAGATACTTACGAGCACTTGTTAGTAGTAATCGGTGGCTGTTCACAGCACGAGCAGTGAGCAAGCCGGAGTGAGTACCTCCCCAGAGTCTGGGGGTGCTGATGACTGCGCAGATGACACTGGATGGCTTGGGGGAGCCAAGTGGTCTTTAAAGAGTGGCGACATTAGCTACTAAATTACCTTTTTTTCCCTCCAAAAAAGGCTTCATTGTGTATTACACACAGAGGGAGGGGTTCAGTCCTGGGCGGCCGCTCTCCTCCCGGCGGCCAGCACGTTGCTTTGGCGTGGATGCATGTCGCCTCCCTGCTCTCCATGAACTTGCGGCGCGCTTGTCCCTGGGGACGTTGAGCAGCACCATGGCACACCTCAGGTGGCACCCCGCACGAACTCAGGGTGCTTGGGGAGGGGGCCACCGCCGGGCCTCTGCTTGCTCCTCATCCTTCCCCCAGGTGGCCCTTGCTGAGCACCGCCCCCCCTACCCCCTTCCCCGGCCACAAGACTGAATCACCTTTAATACTTTGTAGCTTTATCAAGGGTCAAGGGTCCGGGTGGATGGTCTCTCGTGTATTTACCTCCCAGTTCTGTTTTTCATGTTTTGTTTTGTTAGGAGAGGACGTCGGACTTACCCCCTGAGCTATCCGGAGAGAGCGACTCAATGCACCTGGGCCAGGCGCTCTGTGGGCATGAAGTGGTTGGGAGAATCCAAGAACATGGTGGTGAATGGCAGGAGGAGTGGAGGCAAGTTGTCTAATGACCATGCGCAGAGCCCGTCGAAATTGCAGCACGCGGGAAAGGAGGCCGCGAAGGCCGGCAGACACGTGGTTGAGAGGAGGTCGAGCAGATGTATGTACACAGCGCGACTGTCATTTTCAGTGTCGTGTGGGTGGGGATTCTTTTCAGTTCGTAACGTGTGTTCTGGGTCTGCTGTTTCCAGAACAATTTTTCATGTTCTCCCAGTTAACAGTACAGTCTTTTTTCTTTAAACCCTTTCAAAGATTTGACAATTCGTATTCTCATCTGACTTGTACAGCTCTAGTTTAGTGCTTAGTATGATAACTCTAATTATGCTTTTGTATCCATAACCTTGTTATATTTTGTAGCATTTACATCTGAATGGTTAATCTGCCTTATAAACTATATTAAAGCGCTACTGCTGAATTTTTTACATTCAAACTGTATTTTTGTATTTGATGTAAGTATAAGTATATATCTCTTTGAAAAGTTAGACCTATGAATAATCTATTCAATTCTAATTTACGAGGTAAACGGAATTTAGGGCAGCTTCACAAATTGCTGCCATTCCTCCTATTCCTGTGGGGCGAGTGGCGCGTGGCCCGACAGTGGAGCCCTGTGGTTAATGCGCTACTTTTCTACCTTTGCTCCTTCTTGGCGACAGTGAGGCTGCTTGTTGAGAGTTCAAGAAATAGTTACTTTAAGAGCAGAAAAGTGCCGCGGGATACGTGTCGAACCTTAGGTGGGCAGCCATGTGAAGATAACCAGTGGTGTACGGTCATGTGCGGGAGGACAGCTTTTTCTCTTCTGGTTTTTCCTGAGGTTGATTTAGCTCCTACAGAATAGCCTTACTTCGTGTTGGAATTGGCCCGCTTTGGGTGGGGTTGGGTCTGCCCGGGACCTGGGGCAGTTTCGGATGGATTGCACAGTTGCAGTGGTGGCCCTCATAGCTTTCCGAGGTGTATGCAGTCTACTGGGCCCTGGCTGCCCTTAGCCTTTCCGTAGCAGAGCAGGTCACTGCTTCTGTTACAAACTAGGCAGAAACCCCTGCTTGGGGTGGGAGGTCAGGGGAGAGGCCAAGGCCGGATGGATTCTTCTGTTCATGGACACCTGCTCACCCTGTAGCATGTGATGGGAACCTGAAGGAACTGAGAAATGTAGTGTCTGTAGCAGTGGTATTGCCTCTGGTCAGTAAATTAGGTGACTTTTTATTTTTATTTTTTTATTTTACCAAATTGCTGTTGGCCTTCTTTTTGAGCATCATAGAGCAGAAGGTCTGAATTTTTGGAGGTACGTGATAATTTAGAAAAATGATCATAAGATGTGCTACATTTTGCCATGTGTAAACAGATTTAGAGCATAGGCTGGAAAAATCCAAAGAGCCTGAAGACGGACAGCATCACATTGAGTGTTATCGGATAAGAATGGTACAAAAAGAGAGCCAGCGGTGAAGCAAAGCAGTCCTCCGCCTTAGGTAAACGACAGTGATTTCATGCAGCAGCAGAGCCGTGGAATACATGAAGCAGACACTGACGGAATGAAGGGAGAAACAGACAGTTCAGTAGTTTGGAGACTTCAGTTCCCCACTTTGAATAATGACTGCAACAAAGAGGCAGAAGGTGAATGGGCAGATGAATGAAGACTTAGCCAATGCCCTAGACCAGTGCTTCCTGACAGACATCTGGGGAACATTGCGCCCAATAATGCACGTTCTCAGGGGCGTGTGGAATGTGCTTCAGGATAGGCCATAGGCTGGGCCATGCAGTGAGTCTCAACAGACTTAAAAGGATTGGAACCATACACTGTGTGTTCTCTGGGCACAATGGAGTAAAATTAGACGTGAATAATGGAAATTTGAGAAAAATCACAAAAGTTGACTCTTTGAAGAGATCAACAAAATTAGCAAACCTTTACTCCAAGACTCCCCAAGAAAAAGCAGAGTCAAGAATGAAAGAGGGGACGGGGTGCCTGGGTGGCTTAGTCGGTTAAGCGTCCGACTTTCGCTTAGGTCATGATCTCGCGGTTGGTGGGTTCGAGCCCCGCGTCAGGCTCTGTGCTGACTGCCAGCTCAGAGCCTGGAGCCTGTTTCAGTCTGTGATTCCCTCTCTCTCTGACCCTCCCCTGCTCACACTGTCTCTCTCTATCTCTCCTAGAAAAAAAAAAAAAAAAAAAAAAAACACTACTAAGGAAATCTCAGGCCTGGATGGCTTTGTTGGTGAATACTGGCAGATATTTAAAGAACAATTAACACCAGTTCTTCACAGACTGTTCCAAAAAGTAGAAGGGAAGGGAGCACTTCCTCATGCGATTAGATCAGTATTAATTCTGCTACCAAAACCAAAGAAAAAATACCCTCAAAACTACAATATATCTCTATTCAGTATGGACACAAAATCCTCAACAAGATACAAACCAAATTCAGCAACAAGTGAGAATGATTGTGTAGCCTAAGCAATTGGTGTTCATCCCAGGAATGCAAAGTTGGCTCAATACCTGAAAATTAATATAATGCTACCACATCACTAGCATGATGGAGAAAAACCATACGATCATTCCATTAGAAGCAGAAAAAGCATTTGACAGAATTCGGCCCTTTTCAGGATAAAAACACTTGACAAACTAGGAATAGAAGGAAATTCTTCACCCTGATAAAGGACATCTACAAAAACCCACCGCTGACGCCCCATTTAATGTTGAAAGACCATTAAATGCTTTTCCCCTAAGATCAGGAACAAGACAAGAATGTCTGTTCTCACCACGTATATTCAGTATTGTGCCAGAGGTCTAACCACAGCAGCTAGGCAAGAAAATTAACTAAAAGGCGTTCAGATTGTAAAGGGAGAAGTCAAACCATCCTTGTTTGCAGATGACATGATTGAGGAATCCGCTAAAAAAACCATTAAAACTGATAAATGAGTTCAGCAGTAGAGATCAGCATCCAAACAATAAAACTCTAAAACTTACACTTTGAAAACTGAAAGACATTATTTTTTTAATGCATTTATTTATTTATTTATTTATTTATTTCTGAGAGAGAGGGAGAGAGAGAGACAGCATGAGCAGGGGAGAGTCAGAGAGAGAGGGAGACACAGAATCTGAAACAGGCTCCAGGCTCTGAGCTCGGTGTCAGCCCAGAGCCCGACACAGGGCTCAAACCCACGAACTGTGAGATCATGACCTGAGCCGAAGTCGGACGCTTAACTGACTGAGCCACCCAGGCGCCCCTGCAAGACATTACTGAAAGAAATTAAAGAAGACCTAAATAAATGGAAAGACATCCCACGTTCGTTGATTAGAAGACTTAATATTGTTACGATGGCAGCACTCCCCAAATGATCTACAGATTGAACGCAGTCCCTATCAAAATCCCAATTGGCTTCTTTGCAGAAATGGACAAACGGATCCTAAAATTCTTGTGGAAATTCAAGGAACCCAGAGCAGCCAAAACTGTGGAGAAAGAACAAAGATGGCACACCGACACTTCTCAGTTTCAAAACTTACCCCAAAGCTGCAGTGTTTGGGTAGACATAGATCTAGGGAATAGAATCGAGAGTCTAGAAATCTTTGTGTTTGTAGTTGACTGATTTTTGACAGGCATGCAAAGAAATTAAGTGGGGAAAGAATAGTCTTTCAGTAAATGGTGCTGGGAAGACTGGATATCCACATGCAAAAGAATGAAGTTGGGTCCGACCTCATAGTATGTGTGAAAAAGTTAATTCAAAATGGATCAAAGGACCTTAATTATAAAACTTCAGAAGAAAACCTAAGCATACATTTTCATGACTTTAGATCAGGCAGAGGTTTCTTAGATATGACACTAAAACCACAAGAAATAAGGTAAATTGAAATGTATCAAACTTACAAACTTTTGTGCTGGAAGGGATTAACATCCAGAACATGAAACGACAACTCCCAGAAGTGGGGAGAATACTGTAAAATCACGTATCTAGAGCGTGGTGTGGCAAGATGGCGGACAAAGAGAAGGAGAAAAAAGAGAGCATCTTGGACTCAGCTAAGTACATCGACAAGGTGACCCGGATGAAGTATCAGGGAGGCCGCGAAGCCAGTGGCGTTCTGGAGGGTTCGGCCCTCTCCTCAGTCTCGTACTTGACGGCACCGTTGAACACGTGAGAGGCCCTGACCACTGGTACAGGCTCACAGAGGATACGCGGCAGCCGGGCCTGGTGGGGTGCAGGGCACCTCCATGCTGCGCATCTGCCCGCAGGACGGCATGGAGGCCAGGCCCAACCCCTGCGTCCAGCAGCAGGACGCCTAGTGGGCTGGAGGGCCTGGGACACAGCCCCCCGGCGACTCAGAGCTGCCCCTCCCGCCTTAAGTGCTACCACCGGACCAGGATTTCCTTTTTGTATAGGTTTTGTTTTTGTTTTTGTAATAAAACTGCAAACCTCAAATGTCAAGATAAAATAAAATTACATCTCTAGAATATATACAGAACTGTTATTAGTCAGCAGTAAAAGACAGACTCTAATTTCTTTCTCTTCCCTCCTCCCTTCCTCCCTCCCACCCTTCTTTCTTTATGAGAGGGAGAGAGAGTGTGTGTACACAGGGAAGGGGCAGAGAGAGAGGGAGACAGAATCTCAAGCAGGCCCCATGCTGCCAGCGTAGAGCCCGATGCAGGGCTCGAACTCAGAAACCCCGAGATCATGACCTGAGCCGAAGTTGGATTCTTAACTAGCTGAGCCACGCAGGCATACCACAAACTCTGATTTAAAATGAGCAAGGGAATCTGAATAGACAGACATTTCTCCAAAGACACACAAATGGCCAGTACATGAAAAGATGCTTGAAATCATTAGTCATCCGGGAAATGCAAGTCAAAACCACAAGATACCACTTCACAACCCCTGAAATGTGTCAAACTGAAAGGACAGATGGTGGCGGGGGAGCCCTGGGTGGCTCAGTCGGTTAAGCTTCTGACTTTGTTTGGCTTAGGTCACGATCTCACGGTTGGTGGGTTTGAGCCCTGCGTCGGGCTCTGTGCTGACAGCTCAGAGCCTGGAGCCTGTCTTCAGATTCTGTGTCTCCCTCTCTCTCTCTGCCCCTCCCCTGCTCATGCTCTCTGTCTGTCAGTCTCTCTCTCAAAAATAAAACATTAAAAAAAAAAAAAAAGGACAGATGGGGCTCCTGGGTGGCTCAGTTAGTTAAGCATCTGACTCTTGATCTCCACTCAGGTGTTGATCTCAGAGTTGTGAGTTCAAGCCCTGCATTGGGCTCCATGCTGAGCGTGAAGCTACTTAAAAAAAGGTTGTGGTGGTGGTTTTTTTTTTTACATTTATTTATTTTTGAGAGATAGAGATAGAGTATGAGTGAGGGAGGGCGGAGACAGAATCAGAAGCAGGCTCCAGGCCCTGAGCTGTCAGAGTCCAACGGGGGGCTGGAACCCATGAGGTGTTAAGACCATAACCTGAGCCAAAGTTGGACATTTATCCAGCTGAGCCACCCAGGCGCCCCGTGTGAAGCCTACTTAAAAAATAAATAAAAGGACAGATAGTAGCAAATGTTGGGGGTGATGGGGAGAAATTAGAAATAATCACGTACTGTTGGTGGGAATGTAAATTGGTGCAGCCACTTTGGAAAACAGTCTGGCAGTTTCTTGAAAGGTTAAATATAGAGTTACCATATGACCCAGCGCTAAGAGGATCAAAAATACAGGTATACACTGAAACTTTTACATGATTGCTCATAGAAACATTGCTCATAATAGCCAAAAAGTGCAAACAAACAGCCTGATGTCCATCAACTGATGAATGAACTAACAAAATGTGATCTGTCAACATAATGGAGTGTTATTTGGCCATAATAAGGAGCGAAATACTGCTATTTGCTGCAACACGGATGAACCTTGAAAACGTTCTGCTAATTGAAAGAAGCCCTCTCGTATTGTATGATTTCATCAGTACGAGATTTTCAGACCAGACAAATCCATAGAGACAGTAGATTCGTGGCTGTCAGGGGCCGGGGGAAGGGAAAAATTGATAGTGACTGCTTATGGGTATGGGATTTCTTTCGGGGGTGATGAAAATGTTCCAGAATTGATCGTGGTGATGGCCACACAGTTCTGTGAAAACATTAACAACCATTGAACTGTACGCTTTAAATGGGTGAATTGTATGATATGTGAATTACATCTCAATAAAGAAAAAGAAAACATAACGACTTTGATAGCTTTTATACACCTACATGCAAATAACTTGATTGCAAAACGTATCTACTTACCTTTTGACAGGGACTTACATATTAAGTGTTTAATTCGCTTTCTGAAAGAGTGGAAAAGAAAGTTACACCTCTTACCGTGTCTTTCATTCTTCCACATCTTAATTTTGAGCGGCTTCAAGTCATACTGTTGGTATAATTACATTGCTGAAAAGATGGTCTGTGACACGCGTGTCAGGCTTAAATCAGCACGGATGGAACTTCACCCATTTAGGTTTGGCTTTTCTTCACTCTCTTTACACCATCATTAAACCCAATTACTTCGGCTGGTATTTCTGTCACTCCCTATTTTTATCTATTCATTCAAAATCTGTTTCAAACAGGTTAGAAATAGGCCTGTCATTCCCTCTGTACTTCTTTCCCGCTTCCGCTACCTAACTGTAATCACAGGCACATTTCTTCACCCGTGGGCCTCAGTTACCAGCAGAGTGGGGATAGTGAGCATTCACCTGTCCGGAAGGAGGAAGGTGAAGTTAATGCCTCCGGGGGGTGGGGGGACTCCTCCTGGTACTTGACGTCCACCCTTCTGGCACTTACTGCAGACAGTTGCTTGTGTTCTTGTTTCCTCTCTCCCCCGCCCCCGTCTGCAGCGGCTCTCTATGCCATCTTGCCACGGTGGTGAGCGTCCACTCACCCCGTTTTTTCGTCTTCCTCAAGGGGTGAGGAAGGCATTTGAGCCCAAGATTCTCACGACCACCCAGACCCTGTTCTTGGGAAACCTGGTAACATTATCTGCTAAGCAAAACGCTCACAGTCATTCGCTTCGTGTTTGGCTTTCTGCTTGTGCAGAAGGCTCTCCGCTCTTATTTACTAGCTTGAGAGGGCAGCAAAGCTAAAGGTTTTAAAGGTGGATTTAAGTAGTTTTCACCTGAGTGACTTCTCCTTCTCTTTCTCCTCACAGGTAATGGTAATTCAGGGTTCGAAGGCCAGAGTCGGTATGTGCCGTCTTCTGGAATGTCTGCCAAGGAGCTCTGTGAGAACGACGACCTGGCCACCAGTCTGGTTCTTGACCCCTATCTAGGTTTCCAAACACACAAAATGAACACCAGGTAATTGCCAGTCTGTATCCTGAGGTGGAGCAGATGATGATGTTGAGTTTGATGAAAAAAATAGATGCTAATTTTACTTTTCATCAGTATTTAAGATGACATTAAAGGAAAGGTCTTCACTGTAGAAGATTTTATATCTGAGGCAAGAAAAGCAACAAAAGCTTCTAGGAGTCTTGTCAGTTTTAATTCTGTGTTCTTATTTTATCTCAGGCTATTTCTATTAAAATATAAAGCTGGGGGAGCATCTCTTAGTCTATTTTAAATGTTATGATAATTATCTTAGCTGAAAGAAAAATTTTACAAGCATCCTGTGAAGCCTTGAAAATGTATATTTTTTTTCTACTTAAAGTAGGTTACATCAGGGTTTTTTTTTCATGATTTTATTACAGAGTTTTTTCTTCTAAATAATTGCAGCCATATATAGGGAATGTTGGCATCATATTTAATCTTTGAGATGCACCTTGTCATTGGAAAGAAGAGAATATTTTCAAAGACATGCATCTGTCCAGTCTGCAGATAAGAAAGTAGACCCGGAAGTGCTTTATTGAGGATCACATGCCATCTATATAAAATATTATTACACTGTTTTTGAAATCTGTTATCCTTTAAATTTTTTAATTCACGTTTTCTTAAATATCTCTCCCCCAAAAAAGGCGCTTCGATAATTTCACAGTTGGCACCAAACACTAACTTGGAACTTTACAACTTTCCTTTGCCTCTTAACTTGAGTGGCAGGGGCCTTTCAAGTCTGGTGAGGTTGAGCTCCGGGCCACGGGCCCCTCCTGCCTTCCTCACGCTTGGGGCAGTGGTTTGTAGCTCCAGGGCCAGTGACGACCCCAGAGGGACTTGGTCACCAGGGGACCAGCCGCCAGTAGCTGGGGAGGGAGAGGTCGGGGACTAAAGGTGATTAGAGGGAAATCTTGTGCCATTTCCCCCTTTTAATTGTGTCCCTTACTAAGATGAAAACAGGGACTGTGTGATTGATTTATCAATTATATTCTAAATCCAGAAAGAAGTTTTTCAGATAAAAATGAGCCTTTGGCATTTTCATGTGACTACTGTCACCATAGATCTTTCCTTGCTAAAATGAAGTGACAAGTTGGAGTGGACTCGAGAACTTACTTAAATAGCTCCCTGACCTCAGAGGGGCAGATCCCCGAGTTTTGTAAGTGGACGGGTGGACAACTGTTGGCTGGGGTACAGCAGGGCTAGGCGCCCCAGTATCCAGCTAAAATCTGGTTCGCATTCTTTTTTTTTAAATTATTTTCTCAAGGAATTTTTTCCAGTCTATTTATTGTTTTAGTACTCTCTATACCCAACATGGGGCTCATACTCACATCCCCAAGATCCAGAGTCCCACGTCTTTCCGACTGAGCCAGCCGGGTGCCCCTGGTTTGCGTTACTTTAGGTCTGTTTCCCTTCTTTTCCCCAGTGAGGCCGGCACTCCTTCTCCTGGAAGGTCCTGGTGACGTTTAGGAAATAAGAATCACTTTCACATAACAAGCTTAGAGAGGCTCAGGGTTTTAGCGCAAAGGCCCATAATGATGACCTGGAGTCATGAAGAAAGAGAAATGAGCTGGGACATGGTCACTGTGCTCTGCACACGGCCTTGTGGAGGCACATGAACCTTCCAAGAAGGCGCCGCACCCCAGGAAACAGCAGGGGGGCAGTGGTCTTGTTCCAGAGGATGCGCAGTTTACCTGTCACTGGCTTCAATAATAGGAAATTACTCCCGTTTCTTAATAAAAGTCCTTGACAACTGTGTCCTATAATTAGTTTTACATCTGAGTCACTTGGGGTGTTCTTGTGAAGAGGCAGGTTCTGATTCAGTAGCCGTGGGCTGGGGCCCGAGCTGCTGCATTTCTAACAAGCTCCCAACTGCCCGTACTTGGAACAGCAAGGTCCTTGGCCACCCGTCCCACTGAGCTTTTTGTGATGTAGTAAGTAGGTAAAAAGTTCCTTATCGGGGTCGCCTGGGTGGCTCAGTCAGTTAAGGGTCCGACTCTGGATCTTGGCTCAGGTCCTGATCTCGCAGTTTGTGAGTTTGAGCCCCACCTCAGGCTCTGCGCTGACAGCGGGAGGCCTGCCTGGGGTTCTCCTCTCTCCCCCTCTGCCTGCCCCTCCCCAGCTAGTGCTGTGTCTCTCTCTCACATAAATAACCTTCCTTATCACTAGTTCCCAAGGCTCATTTTCCTAGGCTCATGCAGTCCTAAAATGTGAAGTTTAGGGTTACCCAAATATTATTAAAACCCAAGACATTACTGTATCTAAGTACCCCTAAATTAAAATGCAGGATCTAAAATTAAAGCTGTTTGGGGGCACCTGGGTGGCTCAGCCGGTTAAGTGTCTGATTCTTGATTTTGGCTCAGGTCATGATCTCAGGTTTCATGAGTCTGAGCCCCCACGTCGGGCTCTGTGCTGACAGCTCAGAGCCTGGAGCTGCTTCGGATTCTGTGTCTCTCTCTCTCTCTCTCTGCCCCACCCTCACTTGTGCTCTGTCTCTCAAAAATGAATAAACATTAAAAAAAATTTTTTTTAATCTAAATATATATTTAGAGGCACCTGGGTGGCTCAGTTGGTTGAGTGCCTGATTTTGGCTCAGGTCACGATCTCACAGTTTGTGAGGTCAAGCCCCACATCAAGCTCTGTGCTGACAGCTCGGAGCCTAGAGTCTGCTTCGGATTCTGTGGTTCCCTCTCTCTCTACCCCTCCCCTGCTCAGGCTCGCTCTCTCTCTCTCTCTCTCTCTCTCTTTGAAAAATAAAGATTTTAAAAAATGTAATATATATTTATAAAGCTGGTTAACCACATTAAACATTCAGGAGAAAACGTTTATTCATGTTTTCCACTACAACATGTAATCCTGCTCCTGGGGTTTCTGGAGTAGCCATCGGTGTAGGTGGAGAGTAGTGGTGCGCCCTGGGTAGGGCAGGTCAGCCACCTGCGGCGCTGGCATCCTCAGCCGGGAGTGTGGCCGCGTCCTCGTCCCTGGGCGCCTTTTACCAGAGGCGTTCACTTCAAAGGTATTTTAACAGACTCTTTAGTAAGCTGACATTTGGGAAGTACACAGAGATTTCATTAATGAGGTTTGTTAATCGTAGTGAAAGGCACACATTTTCATTTAATCTTCGTACACTTACTTGAAAATAAGACTGTCTTTTCTGTTCTTAATCTTTTGAGCAAGAATTTATCAGAATGTTGACTTAGTGTCATTCTCAAATATACCATTTCATAGAAAGTAAGGAAACTCTGTAGTGCTATATTAGAATAATTGTAAATATTTCTTAGAAATTGTTAGTTTATGGACCTCTCTTTCCTTGGGGTATGAAAGATGTGACTGGAAGACATGACTGGAGCTTGGATTCTCACTGCCCAAGCTGTCGTCTGTCCCTTGTGTGAGGGGTCCTTTTGTTCCCGTGTTTGTACATCTGTGATTTGATTGTCGTTTCTTAGTTTCTGTTTTGTGCCTTTTCCCCTCCCTCTACTCCTCTCAGTGTGCCACAGACAACGTTCGGATGCAGCAGATATTTCACAATTGAAGAAATGCCCTGGCTGGCGTGGCTCGCTTCTGAATGCTTATGTTGAACTCTTGCTATATCCCTACATTTACAAAGAAGCGAGTCAGAGTTGTAGCAGGAATATCGCGAGTCAGAGTTGTAGCAGGAATATCTGGAAATGGTGTAAACAAAATAGTAATTTGTTTACTGGGAAATATTTAGATTTCATTGACTTTTGTCGATTATGAAAATTAAATTCTTCCCTTTAACCAGAGAATAGAGTTGTTAGGCCTCTGAGTTAAAAAAAAAAAAAACAAAAAAACCTGTGGAAAGGGGATATTGTAAAGTTGGGGCGGGTGCTTTCCATCCTGCCCCCTTGTTTAGGCCACGTGACCCAGAGATTTGAGTCTCCTGAGGAGTTGGGGAGGCTCACTGGCGGGCTGAGCAGGAGGGAACGTGACAAATGGGAAGAGTCGAGTGTCACAGCGTTTTAAAGACTTCTGCGATGACCAGTATTGTAAGACTGTTTAGAAATGACAAGTACAAATTATACAAGTGATTTTTTTATTGTTGTTTGTTTTTGCATTTATATAGCGCCTTTCCTTCGAGGAGCTCAAGGCATTTTTCAAAATCTGACAGTTTTCCTCACAACAACCCTGTGAGGTAGGTAGAGTGTGCCTTACAAACAATAATAAGACCCCAACTAACCTGTTTCAGCCTTTATGATGTTCTTTCCTGTTGCGTAATTGGAGGGGTCTGCATAACCACGACTTTTAGAATGTTTTGCAAACCTTTGAAAATCGCTTGGGCTTAGTGATAGCTGTATTTAAAGAACCGCTGGTATTCCGTAACGGGGTGATTTTAAGCACAAGCATTCATCAAAAGATGGGGAGCCTCTCCCAGGGGTTAGCCGAGCACTGTTGGCAGGACCCAGCCGGCGTCCCTGGTGGGGATCTGCTTTCGGGTCAAGAGGAACAAAGAGCCATGGTTCGGGCATGGCCCCTGTGCGCCCACCCCCGGCCGTGTGCAGCTGAGCGTTCTCCACAGGGCGGATGTGTTCACGATGCTGCCTCACGGTCGTCTTTTTTATCTTAAATATTTGAGCATTTTCTCTCTCTTCCTCTCTCCTTCCCTCGCTCCCTGTTTTCTGTCCCCTGCCTCGTCCCCTCCCTGCAGTCAGCTCTTGGTTGCACAGGCTCATGGAGGGGCACAGTAGTGCAGCTAACTCACACCCGCAGCTGCCCTTCGCTGCCCCACTGCTCACTCGGGTTTGGAAACAGAAAAGCCAAATAGCAAGGAAACCTGGGAAGTCAGTCTCTGGAAAGAGTGGGGAACAGGTGTGTGGGAGTGTGAGTTCATGTTTCTTTCTGCCCTTTGTAATTACATATGGATTTAAGTGACGTATTTTTGTGTTTCATATACCAGCCATTGATCAGAGGTGTGGGAAGAGAAAAATAAATGTCTGGTTTATTTAAAGGTGTAAATTTTGTGTGAAGAGAGGGAGGAGGGATGTACTGATTGGGAAATGTCACGTACCTGTCTCTTGCCTCCCCCGCCATGCCATCCCCATCCCCCGTCCCCATTCCCCATCTCCCGCCCCCTATCCCCCAAATACTAAATTCAAAAGTATGTATTTGTGTCCACCCCTCTCACTGTCTCCGGCCGGGCTCCGTGCTGTGCTCAGTGGTGAACACAAGTCAAATCCTGTTCTGATCAAACCACACCAGAAGGGCCCCCAGAGCTCCCACGAGCGAGTAGGACTGGGTAATAATGGTCCCTCTGTTAACGGCCCTCACTACACCTTGTTTTCCTAATTTATGGAACAAGAGGGTTGTTTTAGAGAACCTAAATTTTCTTACAGCTTTAAGAACCATGGTGTGAGGACAGCTTTGAACGGTTCTTGTGGGAGGTCTAGACGGCTGTGGTTCAGGAGAGGACCGAGGGTGTTTTCTAGTCAGTAATACAAACCCAGTTCATTTCTTTAAAGGGTCTTGAGTGCCTTTTGCTCTGGCCCTGTTAGCTCTGTCAGTCTTAGGTTATCAAGAAATTTGTGTCTCCCTGTGGTATTTGTTACAATGGGATTTGACTTGAACTGTCAGCCAGGTGAACTTGAGGTACTTCCATAGGATTATCCAAAACAAGTGTCTCGTCCCTTTCCTGTCTGCCCCCCCAGAACCTTCCTTCCTCCTGCCTTATAGCAGCCAACTGGGACAGAGAGTGTGAAAGTAAATTACATTTTAGGTGAAATGGAGGTTCTTGCTGGTGAGTAGTCCCAAGGGACGGTTTTGGGGGTTTTGTTTGTGTTCAAGGCAATAGAAGGCGGGAAAGCAGAAACAAGTCAGCACAGGAAACCTAGCAGGCAGACTGTTACTCCATCAGGAGTTGATAATTTTGTGTTGGTTTCAGCAGATAAATAGTTTGGCATCACGAACAAAACAAAGGCTAGCTGGCGGGCGGTTTGGGGGTGGGGGGGACCCAGAAGACCTGGCAGGAAGAGCCGGCATCCGTTCCAGGTCCGTAACTTATTTTTCTGACAGGTTAAGAGCTTTAGGTGAATTCAGCCCTGACTTTGGTCCACTTTCTGATGCGTCGAGCCACGTGATCATTTTAAATTGGCGTGTCCCTGTTGGTTAGCTCCGCATTAAGCCTGGAGGTGGCTGGGCCCTTTCTGGGCTCTGTAGCCCTGCCGCTTGCCGCCACGGGCTGCCCCTTGCACCCCACGTGAGCCACTGCTCCTCTCTGTCCCGCCACGGCACGTTCTGTGTTGTTTGAAAGGGGCCCTCGGCCAGCAGCTGCTTGCTTGTCTGGTGTGTCCTGCGCGTGCGCACAGCTCCCCCGTGCAGGGCTGCCGCAAGAAGGACTGGGCGTCCTGAGGAACCCAGTCTAGAGAAGCTCACCCGTGGTGGCCACGAGTAGCTGGCTGCGTAGTCTGTGTGCGTGGAAGTGTGGCTGCTCCCAGGGTTCTGCAGGTGATTTTTCAATCCTGTTAGTGGTGGTTCTCTGACACCGTATTCTGACCTCCTGGGCAGAGACCTTCAGAAATGTTGGAAGGACTTGGCTCATCTGCCTGTGAGGGCTGGCTGGTATGCTGATTGGTCAAAATGGAAAATTAAATACGGGGCGTTGTCCATTTGTCCATATGAGATCTCCAGGATGGGTTTGAAGTCTTCCTGATAGTACTGCTTACTGGTTGTGAGAAGCTTTACCGAAACTAGCGCCTGTGGGTAGTTCGTTCTCAAAGGGTCAGCCTGCGTTCCTAGATCCGGAAGTCCTCTAGAGGTCCTGTCCAGTAAACAGTATTTTACCCATCAAGGATCTCACGTCTTCCCTCTTCCTTGTTCTAGTACTTTCCCTCACTATTCCTGGCCAGCCAACTCGCTGTTCATCTCTTTGAAACCAGCCTCATTAAGATCCCCTGCGTAGGCTTCCTCTCACTTTGCCTTCCTTCTTTTGATTCTTTCCTGTCAATGGTAATGTTCTGCTTTTTCTTGAGAAGGCTGAAATCACCACATTCCTCATTGCCCACATCGTTGTCAACTCCAAAACCCCTTCCCGAGCAGATCTCACGCCTTAGCGAGAGTTTCTGTACTTTAAAGTGCGGTAGCGTGTGGTTTTTACCCTGCTAACTTGCATTAGCTTAGCGATGCCTTGCTTAACTGTTGGATGCACATATGTGTCTTTTAGTTCCAGTGGAGTCTCCATTCCAGAACAGCGGTCAGGTCTTCTCTCCTGTTTTTCACCACAGCAGCCGTGCACATAGCACCTAGTAAAGAATCCTATGTGAAACACTGTGGCTTGAAATTTCACCAAAATGTTACGAATACATTTGTAATCGTTCACCTAAAAAAGACTCCCACTTAAATGCTTCCCATGCTGGCATTTGGGCCAGATCTTCCTGCCATGTTAGCATTTTCAGGTTTATGAGATGTGCGGTTTTAAATGTCGGAATAAGATGCATAGCTCAAATGCATTTTCTCCTCAGCCACTAATAGCTTTTTCTTAGCATCCAATTTGAATAGCAGTCTATTCCTTTTGTTGTTGTTAGATTTAAAAACTACAACAACAAAACTTTATTTGGGAAAATAAACCAAAGGAAATTGATATGAGAAGAAATTTTGAAATTTAGGTCCAGGTACCTTTATCACAGAATATGTTGTACTGGGAACACAACTTTAGAATAAGGGCTTTACAGACATCAGTCTTTCTTGGGCCTTGAGCGCGTCATTGTGTTACTCCTGCCACCCGTACGAACAGCATTCTGAAGCGTTCTGGCTGGTTTTGTAACCGAAGCCTTTCAGCTCTGACATCGCCAATTAGCAACATCACCATTAAGAGTTGTACTTTTTGGGGCGCCTGGGTGGCTTAGTCGGTTAAGCGTCCGACTTTCGCTTGGGTCATGATCTCACGGTTCGTGGGTTCGAGCCCCGCGTCAGGCTCAGTGCTGACAGCCAGCTCAAAGCCTGGAGCCTGTTTCGGAGTCTGTGTCTCCCTCTCTCTCTGACCCTCCCGTGCTCACGCTGTCTCTCTCTCTCTCCTAGAAATAAATAAAACATTTAAAAAAAAAAAAAAAAGTTGTACTTTTTGCCCTCTTTGTTTTCTGAGCGCACTTCTCAGCGATTAAGTTGACATGGATATTGGACATCGAGGTGTATTTCAGGACCTTGTTGGGTACTTGATTTGGGGGGTTTCTAACTGTGCACGTGGAGAGTGTTCTGTCTATGGCGTGATTTTGTTTGCTTCACCCTTCCGAAGCTCGTTGCCTTGCCCTCCTCTGGCTGGATCGTGCATGCTCTAGAGAAGTTCTTCTCCCTCTGGCTCTCAGCCAGACCAGCTCTGTTGTAGACCTTTCATTTTGTACCATCATCCAGTGTGAGCCGGAGTCAGACCACTTCGTTTGAGTCATCTGGTCATTTCTCAGTTAACGAGGTAACAGTGAAATGGAAACAATCAAAATACAGTTGGAAGATAGAGAAGTTCTGTTTCCCGGTGATCACTGTTGCTTGAGCAATAATCATTATCGGGATTGTTGATTATTCTCTTTTATTAGGTCTGGCTGTTTTCAGGTTATTTCTTATCTCAGGATTTCTCTACAGTGGCCCAGGGATGATGGCGGACAACTAAAGTAAATGTTTTGATTTCGTTCAGGTTTCGGCCTATTAAGGGAAGGCAAGAAGAACTAAAGGAAGTCATTGAACGTTTTAAGAAAGATGAACACTTGGAGAAAGCCTTCAAATGCTTGACTTCAGGCGAATGGGCACGGCACTATTTTCTCAACAAGAACAAAATGCAGGAGAAATTATTCAAGGAGCATGTAGGTTTCTTGATAAGATAATTACTGTTTATCTGTTTGGATAAGAGTAGAGTAAACTAAAACTTAAATTTTAGTGAACACTGAAACTTTAAAAGAATCTTTCATAAAGCTGATCAGTGTGAAGATCTAGTAACACATAAGATCATTTGTATAACTCTCCAGAGAGACAGCTTGGTCGTTTGGAAGTAAAATTCACTGTGAGCTTTTAGAGGAACTTGGCCAACCCATTAGGTGCTCTGATAACGTAGATAACGTGAACTTTTAAAATAACAGAGTTTGTTGCTTAATGACCTTTAATGTTTTACATTTTGGTGATCATTTGCTTTTATAATTCTGAACAAGTCTAACGGGATAAACAATTTAATACAAATACCATTTTTTCCTTCTGTTTTAGGTATTTATTTACTTGCGAATGTTTGCAACTGACAGTGGATTTGAAATATTGCCTTGTAATAGATACTCATCAGAACAAAATGGAGCCAAAATAGTTGCAACAAAAGAGTGGTAACTATTATACTAGTATAAACCTGTAACACAACGTCAGCTAACGTTCTCTTTTAAGTTTCCCTGGAAGAGCTAAGAAGGTGGCGGGAACATTTGAAGCCAGAGCGCGCCCTAAAGGACCAGTGCGGGGCCAGAGTCTAGGCCCAGTGCCCTGGGTCAGGACAGTGAAATTAGGAATCTGAGTTGAACCAGATCCTATCTCCCAGCCAGCACACTTTCCCTGAGTCTGAATGCTGCTGGGTGGTGAGACTGCCGACGGGTTACAGGTGCCTGGGCGGCAGAACCTGGCTTCCAGAGTCGTCTCCCCGCTGGCCTAGCAAAGGGTTAGGTGTGAAATCTTAATGATCCTAGGAGCTTCACAGGTGGAAATTTCCTGCTGAATCGCCTGCTTAAATATGTACGTGTACATCTATGTGCCGACTTAAGTAAGGGTAGTGAAGTTCAGCCCAGCTAGGAGGGGTAAAAGCCGTTCGTGAGAAAATATTTGATTATATTTTTCTTCTAATGCCTGTTCCTACCTCATCTCCCAGAAGAAGGAACATGCTGCCCTTCTTATAAGCTATTGTCAGTATTTTTTACAACAAAAATGTTAGGATCAGGTACCTGAAAACGGAATGGGCAAAGAACAGTACACCCAGGTCTCTTGGATGGGTGCGTGTGCATCCATCGTTTGGAGATAGGTGCGCATGCGCAAGTGTACATCTGATTGGATAGGTGCGTGAGCGTACATCGGATTAGAGATAGTTACGCATACGCAAGTGAATATCATAGTGTATTGAGTCATCTGACCCACTCCGCTAGCTCCCTGTGCTGTTGGTAGACATGGTCTTGTATTCTAGAGCTGCACCGTCCAGCACAGCAGCCACCAGCCACTTGTGGCTATGGGGCCCTTGAAAGGTGGCTAGTCTGTACCGAGAAGTACCATAAATGTGATTTACATGCCAGGTTTTATGGCAAACTATATTTCCTGTTAATATTTCTTCTACTGAATACCTGCTGAAATAGTAGTGGGAGCCTGTTGGGTTGAAATATATTACTAAAAGTAATTTCACTTGTTTTTTCTTTATTTTCTTAATGTAATTAGTAGAACACTGAAGATCCCATGTTGGGCTTCCATTACATTTTCCTTGGAGAGTGCTGTTCTAGAGGGTGGTGTCCCTGCTGGCAGCAAGTTGAATCTAGTGTAGCACATATTTGAGTCCTCCTGCCTGCAGAACGCGCCACCGGGTGCCCTAGGGGTTCCGGAGACCTGGGCAGCACGGCTTCCGGCCTGGAGCACGTTCCAGTCTCTCTCAGGGACCCGAGGCTGTGGGGCCTCCAGGGAGGATGAGAACATAGCCCAGTGCAGGTCCCAGGGGGTCAGCTAAAACACACACCACTAGCTCTTCTCGATTCCTGGGATTTATTGGACAGGCTTATTTTATTAAAAGAAGCCTTGTTATTTATAATTACTAGTAATTTTTAACATGACATATTTTAAATAGGAAACGAAATGACAAAATAGAATTACTGGTGGGTTGTATTGCCGAACTTTCAGAAATTGAGGAGAACATGCTGCTTAGACACGGAGAAAACGACTTCAGTGTCATGTATTCCACAAGGAAAAACTGTGCCCAGCTCTGGCTTGGTCCCGCCGCCTTTATAAACCACGGTAAGCTGTGCTCCTCGGGTGGCCGTGCGAGTGGCGGGCAGTACTGCTAAGACTTAGCGTGACCTTGTCAGGCTGCGTGGAACCTCATCTCCCTTTGGAGGGGGTCGGACATAGGGCTTCTTTATTTTCCCCACCAACATATTAAACAAATAATCCTGTCATTTAACCTGAGGCCTAAACTTCTATCGAAAGTTGTAAAATGATGTGGAAAGCTTATTTCAGATTTCTGTAATTGTTCGTGTTTCAGATCTTATCTACAGTTAATTGACTTTATCTTTTGGACATTTTTCAGATTGCAGACCTAACTGTAAGGTAAGTGTAAACATTTTTTTACTGCAAGTACTTTGTTTCTGCTTCAGGTAGGAGTTTCTTAATGAGCTCATTGTATTTCAGTTTGTGTCGACTGGTCGAGATACAGCGTGTGTGAAGGCTCTGAGAGACATTGAACCTGGAGAAGAGATTTCTTGTTATTATGGAGACGGGTTTTTTGGAGAAAACAACGAGTTCTGCGAGTGTTATACTTGCGAAAGGTAGGCATCAAATACAGCGTCCACCTTTTCTGTCCTTGTGATGGCCTGATGATGACGGCCGTTAAACAGCATCACTTCCTCCTTTAAACACAGGGACGGTCCCATGTTCCGTAGCTCCGCGGCGGGTACGGGGTGCATAAACAGTCACAGGACACGGAGCTCATTAGGGGCCGTGGCACCTGAGCCTTTAAAATCTTATCACCAGCTCCTTCTTCTTCTGAGTAGGTAGAATACCAGTGTGCCTAAAGAGAGAGCGGGAAGCCCCATACATGTGGGTACCCATGTGTGTCCACGCATGCGCACATGGACACACACAGTGCCGAGGGGGCGTTGCCCAAAATAGGGCAGGTGACATTTGCTTCTGACAGTCATGTAAAAACACCAATGTTGTCCTGGGTACTACCAAGCTGTGGCTTCTGGAGAGGTTTTTTTTGGTGTTTTGTTTTGTTTTGTTTTTAGTTTATTTTTGAGAGCGTGCACGTGTGGGGACTTGGGCAGGGAGAGAGGGAGAGAGAAACCCAAGCAGGCTGTGCGCTGGCAGCGCAGAACCCAACATGGGGCTCGATCGCCAACCACAAGACCATGACCTGAGCCAAAATCAAGGGTCGGTCGCTTAGCCAGCTGAGCCACCAGGGCACCCCTGGAATTTTTGTTTCAAATTTTTTTATTTGAGCCTAGTTGACACACAGGGTTACAATAGTTTTATATGTACAACTTAGTGATTCAACATCTCCTTACGTTACACTCTCCTCACCACAGGAATTTCTGTTTTGATGCACATACTCTTCATAATTCCTAAATTCTATCTCTTAATAAGGAAGCTTCTCTTGTGACCCATCAAGATTCTGGAGTCCGTGAGGAAATCCCCCAGGTCTGACTTAGCCAGACCGCCGGGCCACACCACTCACAGGAGCGATTTGGGCATCGCAGGCTCCCGGAGGCAGCCACACACACTCGACTTGCTAGAGCTGCAGGAAAGCCTGTTACCAGGCAGTGCAGACCCAGTGGAACAGACCTGGGCTTGTTGAGCCCATTTTGCTTTTTTTCTAAGTTTGTTTATTTTGGGTGGGGGGGAGAGCGAGAGTACGAGCACAAGCAGGGGAGGGACAGAGAGAAAGGGAGAGAGAAACCTAAGCAGGCTCCACACCATCAGTGCAGAGCTCCATGTAGGGCTTGAACTCACAGACTCTAAGTTCATGACCCAAGCCAAAACAGAGAACTGGCCATTTAGCTCCCTGAGCCACCCAGGCGCCCCGAGGCCACTTTTCTTACCTTGTACTGTGCCGGGCACTTTACTGACCCTGACCTCGTCTCCACAGCCATCCTGAGAGAGAGTAAATAGAAACATGTCCACACTGTAAGTACAGAAACTGAAGTGTCTGAGCCTGGGGCAGCCGAACTTCAGCCCTCGTTCTTGCCACTTCCTGCCGTTCCCGTGGGAACAAGGATGGCGGTCCCGAAGCGCCACTTCTCCCACTGCAGCCAGCCAGCCGCTGGCCAGCCCGAGGGCCCCACTTCCCTTCTTTCCAAGTAGTGGGAAGTGCCCCCTGCGTCATGCGAGAGCAGGAGCATGGAGTCCTATGCTTCCGCAGCTGTCTCTCTTCCCTCCCTTGGATCCTTGCCATAAGGGACAGCAGGAAACCTCTTCCTGAGGCTGCCGTGCTTTTGCCCCGCTTTTGGGAGGGATAATAAAAAATCTATCATTTTCTACATAAAAAATGGTTTGAACATTGGTTAAATCTTAGACCCGTATAGGAAAAGACCTTTAATCCATGAAATAATTTAATTACACTTGAATAATGCTTCAAAATTATTTTTCCAGAGACAACATAGGGCAGCAGTTAAGTTGCCTGAGGAACCTGCTCAGGTGAAATCCTGTGACTGCTCTTCGTTAGCTACGTGATCCTGGGCAGTGTAACTGCTTTTTGTGCCTTAATTACCCCATCTGTAAGATGGGAGAGAATGTTAGAAGCAATCTCACAGGGTCGCAGTGAGGATTACATTTGTATTTTGTGTGAAGTGTGTAGAACACAGAGTTAATAGTTAGGTGTCAGCTGTAGAATTACCTTGTGGTTTCTGGTTATTTGTCCTTTAGGATATAAGCTCCATGGAGGCTTTTATCTTTCCCACTCACTACCAGCATCCAGAACGGCACCTGGCATGTAATAGTTTCTGGGTGGGTGGATGGATGGATGGATGGATGGACGAGTGGATGGATGGACAGACGGACATACAGTGTGCTAAATAAGCTTTTGGAGGCTATCCTGAGAAAGGCAACCACGGACACAGGATTCCGCACCAACCCTGAAACAGCTCTCTGACTAGTCTGGAATTGCACGCATCGTCCTGCTCCTCAAGCAGATGCGTCTCCCCTGTGAGCCTCAGTCCCTCCCTGGTCGGGGCACTGGGCCTGCCTGCTCCACACAGTTACTGCGGTTCCTTTTTTAATGGAAAGGCTTCATGTCAAACTGTAGCCATGGCTGCCTTCACACCATTTGAGCGGTTTGATTTCAAGGTTGATTGCAAATAACTCCTGAAGTTCTCAGGAACGCCTGAGAGAGTGAGACTCGTTCAGGGGACTCACTCAGCTCTTCATCGTACATCAGCAGGGCAGCTAATGCGTTAGGTCTCGGGGGCGCCCGCGTGCCCTGTCAAGAGCTGCAGGATGAGAGGAGCTGGCTCTGTGAGCAGAAGGTTTATGGAGGTTCCAAGATTGCGGGTAAAGCCTCCAGGATCCGTTCAGTGCGTGTTTCTGGCCATGACCGTCCTGACACAGTAGCGATCAGTATGTATTCTCAAGTGCTGTGGATTCTGCTGTACAACACTTGGGTGTAAAGTCTAATGAAGTACCACAAAACATGAAGGATCAGGCTGTTTTCAGGCTTCTATGAAAATGTATCTGAGGAAGCTAAAAAAGAATTTCTAAACTATAGTTTGAGGAGACTTTTTTTTTTTTTAATGTTTTATTTATTTCTAGGAGAGAGAGAGAGAGACAGCTTGAGCAGGGGAGGGTCAGAGAGAGAGGGAGTGACAGACTCTGAAACAGGCCCCAGGCTCTGAGCTGGCAGTCAGCACAGAGCCCGACGCGGGGCTCGAACCCACAAACAGCGAGATCATGACCTAAGCGAAAGTTGGACGCTTAACCGACTAAGCCACCCCGGTGCCCCTGAGGAGACTTGTTTTAACATGTGCTAACAGTAGGAAACAATGCCCACCACTCGCTGTCGGCCCAGAAATGGACAGATGGGTAACAGGACATGAACAGGGGCCTGAAAGAGGGGCAAGTGTGTATGAGATCTTCCGTCACATGTGGGGAAACGATGATGCTTTAACAAGTAATGTTAGTATAATTCACTATGCATCTGGAAGAAAACCCAGCTAAATTCAAGGTGGATTAAAGATTTAAATTTTTTTTAACATTTACTTACTTTTGAGGATGATTAGAGCCTCTGAGTGCACCTTCACTTCAGAAGAATTTACATAAAAATATAAATTATTCGTTACAGCAGACTGCAAATCATTCTTGCCCTGTGGTAAAAGCAAGCGTTGATGTCTTTGATTTGGTAACATTTTGTTAATTGTGGTCATCTCAGGAACTCAGAAGGAATTAAACCGTTTCTGTTATTCCAGAAGTCAGATTTTCCTTGACGTAGTGTAACCACCTTGTACAGGATGTCAGTTAAGGTTTCTTTGTGTCTAATGTTGAGTTTTTAAGTAATGGCTTAATTTATGGAAATTCTCTGCTTGCTTTTTTTTAACCCCTTAACTCTTGCTGTCAGTATAGTAGTGTTAAATCGTGTAGAACAGAGCTGGAATCTCACTAGCCGGTATGTTATTTAAGCCACAACGCAGACCTGCCTGTTGCACTAACCAGTTTTGAAATCAAAGAACCCGTTCTTGTCACCTACGCAGGACTTCTGCCCAGCCTCGCGGTTTCCCAAGGGCAGTTAGTAATGAGCTGCCAGCAGTCCTAACGATTTGTTATTTTAAATCTAGAGGGTTTTTGTGTTGATTTTCTATACATTTTTAGTTCCTCCGCGAGTCCTAGACCTGGCACGTTTCCAGGGATGACCGAGTCCCCATCCGCACACCACATTTGTTGACCTGACGCGGCCTTGAGCCCGCAACAGTTGCACTTGTTGGTGGGACGCTGTTTAACCTGTGCTGTTTTCTCTTTCAGACGGGGAACCGGTGCTTTTAAATCCAGAGCGGGACTGCCTGCACCTGCTCCTGTTATCAATAGCAAATACGGACTCAGAGAGACAGACAAACGCTTAAATAGGCTTAAAAAGTTAGGTGACAGCAGCAAAAACTCAGACAGTCAATCTGTCAGCTCTAACACTGATGCAGATACCACTCAGGAAAAAAACAATGCAAGTAAGTAAGGGAGATTTGATAAGCATATATATCTTCTTTTTTCTTTTTTTAAAAAGTATTTTCACACAATTATCTTTCTAAAGTATGCTTCACTTCAGTAGTTTCAACCTTTTAAATATTGAGAGAGGCCCTGGGACTCGTGTGCCTCAGCTGCACTGCAGGTTCTAGAAATGATCTGAGCACAAAGGCAGTCTGTGTCCCGCCTCCAGACTCGGCCCTCTGCTCTGGACAGAAGTGCCTGCTTTTCCTGAACACCTGGTAACTGGATGTTACGTTCTTCATCGTGTGTTCCAGGGCCGTCCTGTGTTTGAGAGACAGAGTTCCAAGGTGGTAGTTTGACTGTCATGATGGCGTTAGGTCCTCCGGGAAGACGAAGGACTGGGTAGAGGCGTGGAGGCGCACGTGTCCTCATGCCAGGCCAGTCCATAGGCACCCGTGATGCGAACTTGGGCAGTTTGTAGCTTCCGGCCTCAAGGCTTCCACCTTTTTACTGCTTGCTTGCCCTTTTCAAAATGAACTAAGCCAATTCACCAAACTGCCAGTTCCCAGACTCCAAACTGGGAGAGAGGAGCCTCTGGAAGGTTGCTATGCTAGGGCGTGTCGTGTTAGCCGCTTTTGACACCAGCGGGAGGTGAGAAGAAGAAGCAAACCTTAAGATACCAGGTGTACGAGGGGGCAAGACCGTACGGAAACTGGAAAAAGAGAGAATGGAGAATAACGAAAAGAAAGCGAAGAAGGCCTAGCCGGGCAAAAGGAAACGCATCGTGTTCACGGAGCTTTGAAGTCCTGGAACCATTTTCATGGCTGCCGGTCTCCTCTGGGTAACACCAGTTTCCTCTCCTTGCCACTAAAGCTGTAGGCTCTTTAGTCTGCTTGTTTCTGACAGGAATAAACTTTCAGAGTTTTGACTCCGTGCTCCCTAGGGACGCCCGTTTCGGCGCGCCAAGTGTCCACGGGTACTTGGTGGCGCCTCCGTGCCTCCTAAGGTCTGGCTGTCTTAGGCTCCTCTCCCTGTCTGCAGATGTTTTCAGCCCAGCACAGGGGCACCCCTTCCCTGCAGAAAATCCTGGAGCAAAGGGAAGGCCTCTCCCATGATGGTGAATGTCACTGCCATGAATCCCGCATCCGCCTGCCGCCGGGGGCCCGGGGCCCGGGGCCAGCCTGGTAGTGGGACAGCCGTGGCGCGTTCCTACTCCAGCCTTTACTGTCCCAGGGAACAGAAAGAGAGCAAGCAGTTAGCCCGTCATTCACTGTTGACTGTTGGTTCTGATAATAAATGGAACATAACCAATGTTTTGTTTTCGGAGTCTGGTTCCTTGGTGAAACTGGAGACTTGTGAAGCCCGGTTTAGAAATACGTGCATGAGACACTAAAGAGTGCGGACACGGCCACCACGCTGCCCACACCGGATGGCCCTGTGACACTGAGGGGGAGGGGGTAGCTCTATGCCAACTGTATACATACTGAACTCAGTACACCACAGAATCTAAAAGAGCATAATATAGATGGCTTCTGGAAACGTACTGACTACTGTGTGACCATCTAGGGAATAGTTATTAGTAAACTGAATACTTCTTAAAAGCCTACTAGTGGTTGAAGAGTTACAGAGACGTATGGGACTCGGGCCCTCCTCCGCGGAGCTTACGCCTTAGCTCCGGGATACGACAGGTACACAGGTGTACATGCAGCGCAGACTAGAAATGCCATGGCTCAAGTTCTGAGTGGACAAGTAATCCCTTTGAGCCATGGTCCCAGCGTTTCCGAGTAGAAGTGTGGCACTTTCCAGTGACTGCTTATCACAGGGGGCTCACTTGGTGTAAGTTACCTTTCGGCAGAATGATCGTTTCGAGGACTCGGAGGGTCAATGTGGCAAATGTGGAGGGCTGCGTGTTAGAGTTGACAGTTGTGACAGGTGTGGCTCCGTAGCGCCATCGCTCCTGAGGCCACCCTCCCCAAGGTCACGTTTCCAGCAGCGTTCCTGCAGACCGCCCCCCCCCAGGTATTCTTTCAGACGGTATTTCTTTTGGCGTGTGTGTCTCGACCGTGCCCTCCTCCCCATTTGAAAGAAAGACTTTCTGAAGTGGCAGCCAGTGGCAGAGCCAGAGCCGCCCAGGCCTCTCCCAGGGGAGGCGGGCGTGCTTGCGGCGTGTGGCCCCGGGGGCCTCTCCGCGCGCGGCTGCCGGGAATCTGGGTGGCAGAGAACGGCTCTGTGTTCTCTAAGAAAACGTTCCTGCCCAGTCGGGAGAAAGATTACCATCTTCTGTGCAGAGCTTTATCTGAAAGGCGTCTCAAGAGCCACGAGTTGACCGTTGGCTGTGGCGTCCGGAGAGAGGAGATGACAATCGTCCATTTTCACAAGTTCAGTCCACGAGCCTGAATGCTAACACCAGTATTAGAAGATTCTGGTTTTTCAGGCCTCTCGGTCATCGGTGGCTAGGCCATGCCCCCCACCGCCGCAGTCAGTGCTGTGACGTGTGGGATGTCAGTCTTGCCACGACGCGGGGTGCGCCCCAGAAGGCCAGGCCGGGGCCCTGAGCTTGCCCTGACTCCAGAGCGCCTGGCCCAGAGGCAGTGGGCCAGGCCCGCTTCTCACTGTCCGCCGGCACAGACTTCGCTGCTGGTCTGAACGCTCCTTGCTGCTAAGCCTGTCCCTTCCAGCACCCTGTTCCAGGCAGCCACGCCAGCCTGTGTCAGTCACATAAGATGGAAGATGCTTGTGCCTGACAGGCTGGAACGGAAGCCTTTAAAGTCTTACTCAGGGCTTTCTGGATCTTCAAGTGCTGAAGGTGCCAGGCTGTGGATGGCCCGTGGTTCACAGTGGCGGTGCCCCTCGCAGGGGCTCTCCCAGTATGAGCCCGGCCCCAGCGCGCCGGAGGCTTGGCCGTCGTCTTGCTGTTCTCATATCTGGCTGTAATTGTTGATGCCCACACAGGGCTACCTGACGGTTTTGAGGACCCCCTGAAATAGCTGTGATGGCCGTTTTCCAGGAGCTGGAGCCCAGACCCTAGTCCAGATCCCATCTCCTCCGCTTACCAGGTGGACGGCGTCAGGCACGCAGTCCCTGTGTGCTATTCCCATGGCTGTAGTAGCACTTATTACAGAGCATGCCTGTTAGGATTGAGGTCATACTAATTTGGCCACTTTGCACAGCACCTAGTGTGTAGTGATTGCTGAGAAAGTGCATCTCCACCTAAAATCACCATCCTAGGTTTGCGCATTTGGGATTTGTCCCCGCCTCCAGGCAAGAGAGTCCTCCGTGGTGCTGAGAGCAGGGTGCCTAGGGTGGGGGGTAGTGGGGGGGGGGATGCCTCACACCCGCCCGCTCCCATTAGTTTGCATTGTGCCGACTGTCTCTCCCGCCTGCGCCGCTGACATCCCCGCATCCCCGAGGACAGGGTGGACCCGCTTGGGAGAGTGAAGAGCCCTTGGTGCCCGTGGGGCTGGCCTCTCAGTCTGTTGCTCACATCCCACTGCCCAGCTTGTCTGTGTCTTTTCTGACCTTTGGCTTGATGAGCCTCCCTTTTAGCTTGGCTGTTGATGAGAGAAGGCTTTTGAAACAAAAGACCGGACTGCTGCGTACGTGAACGTGGCAGTGAGAGCTCATAGCATCACATACAGTCTGCTGTGTGCCGTTTAGGACATGAAAATAATAACGTCCCCTCTGTCAGGTGATTCACTGCCATCAGCAAAGCAGAGAATCTGTTGGAAGCGGGGGTGGGTTCAGAATCGTCACAGAACGAGGCTCCTCTAATGGATTAAAATAAGAGCGAGACTCAGGAGAATCTCAGTGCTTTGAAGATACGCGGGGAGAGTGACCTGGCCTTTGTAGAAAGTCCGGAAAGCCCCCCCCCGAGCGAAGCATTCCCTAAGCTGAGTCATAAAGGGGGTGAGGGGCTGGCCAAGTGAGGCAGGTACAGAGCGAAGGGAATTCATAAATGGAGGTACAGGGGTAAGTGTAGGACCCCGGCAAGCCGGGTGTATCATGGCTGGAGTAGAAGGCGGGAGGGACGGATCTGACCATCACTTAAAACTTGGGGTTATTCCTGGGGCGCTAGGTCACTGAAGGGTTGAAAGCCCAGAAGTGACCTGTTCTACTGGGAAGATCACTCTGGGCCCACAGTGGGGACTGGAATGTCAGGGAAGCAGTGGGAGAGATGAGAAGAGGTAGGAGGCCGTCGCCGCAGCTCAGGCAGCGGGTTGATTGTGAGCAGAGAGAAATAGATGACTCGGGGGCGCTGCGGGGGTGGCTCCTCAGGACGGACGTGGCGGCCCAGCAGGTGGGGTGGCCAGGGAAGGCAGGAGTCCGGGGCGACCCCCCGGGGGCTGCTTGGGCAGCGGGTGGACAGTTAAGGAGAAGCAGCCGTGAAGCTTGATGGTGAGTTCAGTTTGGGCCTGTGACTGTGGGGAGCCCATCCTCGCGGGAAGATTTAGACGCCGGTGGGTGTTTGATGATCTGGTTCCGTAATCTAGGAGAGAGGCTGGAGAAAGTGGTTCAGGAGCTGCCCGTGCCTTGGTGTAAGAGCCCTGGCGGTGGGGGGGTGCTTCTCACCCAGAGAATGCGTGTAGTTTCCAAAGGGTCTCGGACAGCAGGCCCGAGGGGCGCAGTTGAAGGGGCAGATGCGAGGCCAGGAGAGGGTGCTCTTGGGGACAGACAGCGGGACAGGAGTTTTCAGGAAGAAAAACGGTGCACAGGGTCACGTTCTGAGGAAGGAAGAGGGGGAAAGGGCTGAAAAGTGTTCGCTGGACTGGACTTGACAGGAGGGTTTTCCAAGAGTGACAGAGGCTGTCTCTTAGAGGGACAGGCCGGACCCAGGTTGTAGGGGACTGCCGCCCAGCACGTGGTGCGTGTGTGCACTGTGAAGGGCTGAGTGCGGCACAGAGAGCACGGGGCGGGAAAGGAAAGCTAAGGCTGAGAACCACTGAGCTTGGTCATAGAATGGTCCTTGAAGGGTCACGGGCTGAGCACAAGACTCCCGGCACATTCGAGACCGCCATGTGGCGGACGCTCCCACGCATTTACTTCCACGAGCACATCTACATCCACCTTGTAGGAGAAGCCCCTTAACTAAAGGAGCCCTGGGCATCCTACTTCAGCAGTTTGTAGCTCGTTCTGTGGAATCCCGGTTCGTGCTGCCCCCGTGGGTCTCCCGCTGGCTGGCATCCAAAGCACTCCTCCTACTAAGTCTGAAACTCAGGGGCTGCCCTGGCGGTGGCCCTGGGGCGAGCACATTCTTGTTCTGACCAGAGGGTCCCCTCCCTGGGCATTCTGCTGGTTTGGGTGCCCCAGAGCCGTTTACACCCCTTCTTGGGTACAGAGCCTTTTATTCTTAGTGGTTTGATGTGCTTTGGGAATGCTCGTAACGCATTCCTGCTCTTCTGTCTCAGTGAAAACTAATGGTGACTTGCGTGGCCACGTAGAAGGAAGGACGGTCGCCCTGGCAGCCCTTGGGCGTGTGCTGGGCGACAGTGTGTGTTGGGCAGTGTGCTGGGGTGACCCACAGTTGTTTTTACCCTCCCTGTTTCCTGGCAAGAAGTGGGGATTAGTAGTTTGGTCATCTCGGTTCCTTAGTGAAGGATTGAAAAGTGTAGATTGATGGGGAAAAGGTTTCAGGTGGGGGGTAGGAGCGCTAAAGAATTGAGCAATTGACTCGTATAAAACACGGTACACACAGGTCCAGAGTGTAAATGGAAAGAGAAACAAAGGTGAGCAGAAGTCCGTCAGGAAGAAACTCCCCCTGGAAGCAGCGTCAGCTTGAGCACATGTGAGCCTTTTGAGAATCTGGTCAACTACCTGTCAGTCCTCAGGTGGCCGTTCCCAGCAGGGGCGTCGCGGCCTTCGTGTTCTTGTCCGGGGAAAGTTGGCTCCCCCTTGGTCCCGAGAGGGTAACTCATTGCGTACTGCTTTCCCACCCGAGTTTGGTTGTTGGCAGCGGGCGGTCCCTGGACGGACGGGGCTGAGGTAGTTCTTCAGCCTCAGAAGCCTACTGGCCCTCGCGGAGGTGGGGGGAGAGTGCGCGGTGCAGTTCTTCGTGGGCGGGCGTCGGCCGGGAGTGACAGCACCTGGTCCGCGGGGTCCCTCTTGCCTGTTTGGAGCCACGGGGATGGAGGGCGTCCGTCAGGGCCCGTTGACGACCTGCTTCTGTTCTGTATCACGTGTCACAGAGTAAGTGACAAGCTTACTTTGAGTTCCTGAGTGATGGATTTTAGAAACCTATTTCGAATGAGGATGTTAAGAATTTGTGAAAGAAAAACAGATTTTTCTTTTAGTTTACTTCCAACTCAGGAGAAGAAGTGCTTAGACGGACAGGCGTCGTGATAGATTAGGGACGAGCCCAGAGTGAGACCCGGGTCCTTGCTGTGCGAAATGCACGGATGCTCCACGAATCAGAGGCCACAGTCGAGCAGAAGGGGAGCGGAGAGGGGGTGCCCCGGGGCCTGGCAGAGACCGAAGGGGGGGTTTGTCTGGCACGTGCCGGGGTGAGCCCGACGCTTCATAGCTGACAGGGTTGGGCATCGTTCTGTTGAGCTCCCCTGCGTTACGAAGCCTGGTTTTCATCCTGGTTTTTTTTTTGTTTTTTTGTTTTTTTTGTTTTTACCCTTGCAGCTCCTAACCGGAAATCTTCAGTTGGTGTGAAAAAGAACAGCAAGAGCAGAGCGTTGACAAGGCAGTCCATGTCAAGGATTCCAGCTTCTTCCAACTCTACCTCATCTAAGCTAACTCATATAAATAATTCCAGGGTACCAAAGAAACTGAAAAAGCCTGCAAAGCCTTTACTTTCAAAGATAAAATTACGAAATCACTGCAAACGGCTGGAGCAAAAGAGTGCTTCAAGGAAACTCGAGATGGGAAACTTGGTACTGAAGGAGCCCAAAGTAGTTCTGTACAAAAACTTACCCATTAAGAAAGATAAGGAGCCAGAGGGACCAGTCCAGGCCACAGCAGCTGGCGGGTGCTTAACCAGACACGCGGCCAGGGAGCACAGAGCGAGCTCGGGGCGAGGCGCCCCCCCGCCCGGGGACGACGCCCCCGGCGCCTACACCACCAGGCGGTCGGCGAGGACGAGGCCGAACCCCAAGGAGGCCTCCGCCGTCCAGCTGGAGCCGGACGCGGCGGGCGGCTGTCCCGGCGGCTTGCCGGAGCCCGGCCCGGACGGCCAGGAGCAGCCGGCGCCCGTGGCGCGGGAGGAGGACCTGGGCCCCGGAGCCGCACACAAGGGGGAAGCCGGGTGTCCCCGGAGCGACGGCGGCACGTCCAAGAAGAAATCGCGACAAGGAAGGCTTGTGAAACCGCTGGCCAAGGCCGAGGAGCCGGCTCCGGGCCAGGGCTCCCCCGGGGAGGCCAGCGCGGCGCCGGAGGTGCTGGGCTCCGGCCCGCAGCAGGGCGAGCACGGTGGCTCGGAGGCCACGGCCGGGACCTACCCGGACTGGGCCCCCTCGCCCGGCGACGCCTCCCTCGTGACGTCCGAGAGCTTCAAGACCAGAGACGGCTTCAGAACTGCGAAAAGTAAAAAGAAGAGGCGCATCACGCGGTATGACGCCCAGCTGATCCTGGAAAACAACTCCGGGATTCCCAAGTTGACTCTCCGCAGGCGTCACGATAGCAGCAGCAAGCCCAGCGACCAAGAGAGCGACGGGATGAGTTCTTCGAAAATCAGCATCAAGTTAAGTAAAGACCACGACAACGACAACAATCTCTATGTAGCAAAGCTCAATAACGGCTTCAACTCAGGGCCGGGCGGCAGCTCCACGAAGCTGAAGATCCAGCTGAAGCGGGACGAGGAGGGGCGGGCGCCGTGCGCGGACGGGCTCCGCGACAGCGGGCTGTGCTGCGGCGACCCGCTCTCCCTGCTCGAGTCCCGCATGGAGGTGGGCGGCTACGGCCAGTACGACGCCGAGAGCACGGACGAGCCCTCGTCCTCGGAGGCCGAGGAGGAGGAGGAGGACTACGAGGACGACGACTTCATCCCCCTTCCTCCCGCCAAGCGCCTGCGGCTCATCGTCGGGAAGGATTCCATAGACATTGACATCTCCTCCCGGCGGAGGGAGGATCAGTCCTTGAGGCTCAACGCGTAAGCTCCGGCTCCCCCCCACCCCCCCACCCCCGGCCCGGGAAGCCCCCCTAGAGAAGCGCACAGAAGCTCCAGCCGGCCCCTGCTCGCCCGAGACACCTTAGAGGCGGCACCTGCTTCCCCTTGCCCCCCCGGCGGCGTACTGTAGAAAGTGTACAGCGTCCGGACCCTCCCGAAGCCTGATTTGTGCAGATTTTTATTGTACTTTTTAAATAGCCTTCTTACGTGCAATTCTGAGTTAGAGGTAAAAGCCCTGTTGTAAAATAAAGGCTCAAGCAAAAATGTACAGCGATAGCAACTTTCCACACGGGACGTTGAAAACAATAATGTGGCTACACAATTCTTTTGTTTCCTTCCTTCCTTCCTTCCTTCCTTCCTTCCTTCCTTCCTTCCTTCCTTCCTACCTTCCTTCCTCTCTCTCTCTCTCTCCCTCTCTCTCTCTCTCTCTCTCTCTCTCCCTCTCCCTCTCTCTCTCTTTTAACCAAGAGCATCGAGTGGCTCTTTAATATATGACTAAACAATAATTTAAAACAAATCATAGTAGCAGCATATTAAGGTTTTCTAGTATATGCTAATATCACCAGCAATGATCTTTTGGCTTTCTGATTTATTTGCTAGATGTTTCCCCCCTGGAGTTTTGTCAGTTTCACACTGTTTGCGGGCCCGGGTGTACTGGTCGTGGCCTTGGTTAACGTAGCGAACCGTCGGTTGGGAGTCGAGTTGGTTTCTTTAAAAAACAAAGGGGGAAAAAAAGTACAGTCCCACGCGTGACAGCTCACTTTTCAGTCCTGCGTGCGGATGAGGGAGCAGTGTGAGGGGTGGGTTTCGACACGGCGTATTTATTGCTTGACATGTAAATTAAAGACCTTGTATTTAACACTTTTCGATCCTTTTAGATAAAATTGTTCTTTGCAAGAATGATTGGTGCTTATTTTTTCAAAACTTTGCTGTGAACAATGTGACGACCAGAAGCAGCGTTTATCTGATGAACTACAGCTCTCTTCATTTGGGTCTTCGAGATTTCTGTTGCACTTGTAAAATGCTACAAGGAATATTAAAAACTCTATTCACTTTAACTTATAATAGTTTATGAAATAAAAACATGAGTCACAGCTTTTGTTCTGTGGTAACCTATACAAATGTTTGTCTCTGAAAATTCAATGTAAAGAACCGAAAACAATGTACATGTTGTAAATACTTGTGTGTTGTGAGAAACTTTTGTCGTAAGAAATTCAAAGAACTTACCAGGAAGGTTTTTAAGTTTAGAAATATTCATGCCAATAAAATAGGAAATTATAAAATATATAGTTTTAAGCACTGCATCAGTGAGAGTTCTCGGCTTAATGTTGTTTATGTATGAAAATATCAAAGATTTCTTTTTGACTTTTATCAGTTAAACAAAAAGAGGAGTCAGATTTAATTTGTTGTTTTTTTTTGAAGCACTTTGAGAAGAGAAATTAATTTTAAGTAACTTAATGAGCAAATTTTTGATTCCTGCTTTATGTTCAAAACCAACCTTGCATTTCCGTGGATTATTTTACAGATGATTGGGCAGAGAATCTGGGAATATAAATCTGTCGCAGGTGTTTGACGCCAGTGGGTCTCTTTATTTCTGGGAAACGTGTACTTTCAGATACACAGTGTTCCGAAGTAAAATCAATTTAGGCGATTCGTGTAGTATCTGTAGAAAAGTAGCCCCTCTATTAAAACATTAAAATCTGCCCATAACGAAAAGTCCGGTGGAGAAAACCTCAGTGCGCACATGTTGTTTCTAGTGGATTCCTACCGATTTCCAGGTTCTGGGGACATCGTTTAAGTTGAGTTCCCGAAAACAACTGCTAATAGATTCCAAGTAGAAATTAACAAGTCATAAAAGTGTTTGAGACTTAGAATTGGGTTTCTCCTTAGGTTCTCTAAGGCCTCCCTCCGTGCGTGGTCTCACATCGTCTCGTTCCCCTCTGTCGTGTGCAGCTCAGCCCCTCAGGTATCCCGCGAGCATGTGTGCAGACCCGCTGCATCGCGCTCACACCCCCTCCGCACCGGGTGCCGTCCTGCACCTCGCCTCGCAGGGCAGCCCCCCGGGGCCTGTCCCGAGGCACGCGGAGCACGTCAGGGACCACGTCCGGGCCTCACGCTGTCCCTCGTGGGAGAAGCTTGCGGCTCGCGCCACTAAGGCAGGCCAGGCGTGGACCCTGCGTCTGGAAAGTACCATGGTGGGCCACCTCTGGCACTCCTGCCTTAGTGTGGAGTGTTGCGAAGAGGCTAGGAGACGAAGTCTCTTGAAATACCAACAACAGCCATTTCAGGAATTTCGATCTTCAGGAAAAAGTCACAAAATACCACATTTCCCACTCTTCTCCACATCTCAGCTTAACTTTAGTAACTTATTTATGTTTGTAGGAACTTGATTGTGGCCTCGTCTTCGGAGGCCGACCTCCCTGTGGGTCCGCGCGGTGGCCGGGAGCCTTGTGCACAGGGTCCGTGTGCACCAGCGCTGGCCGCCGCCACCTCCCCGCGCCAGGAGACCCCATTTCCGTTTCTAAAGTTCGGGGCCTCGGGCCGCTCTGGCTCCGCTGTAGAGCCTCGCTGTGGGGACTGGCGAGGTCCACACACTGGTGACCACTTGGAAGAGGGCTGCATTCAATACAACTTTTAGCTTGAGCTTATGCGATGATTCGTAAAAGATTTTGGCATTGTGTACGAATTAGGAAGCGATCAGAAAAATACATGTAAAGTTTTCAATTTTCAATCATTTTTCAAATTACTGTCTTAAATTGTTTTGCTGAGTTGTAATACTTTTGAGATACAATGTATTCCTTGTACTGAAAGAATTGAAAAAAAAGGACTTTTTCAGCATTTGAGGTAAGTTCTTTAACGTTTCATTAAAGACATTTTTTACAAATATTTTGTACATGCACTTGCAGTATTGAGGTTAATCATTTTAATAAATTCGGAAATTAAAACAATTTGGCCGGTGTTCACTGTATCGGAACAGAGAAGGTCAAAGGGGTGACTTCCTCCGGAAGGTTCTCACGTAAAGTAGAACTTGTAAAATCAAACATGTTAAAGCTTTTCAGTATCTGCGAGCGTGGCGTTTTCTGAGCCCTGGTCTCCATTTGCTTCTGACGCCCCTCGGTGTACAGGATGGGGGGGGGCGGGGGGCTCCGTCTGTTGGGCGCCTGACTCCTGGTTTGAGCCCAGGTTGTGATCTTGCCGTTTGTGGGTTTGAGCCCCGTGTCGGGCTCTGCGCTGGCCGTGTGAGAGCCTGCCTGGGATTCTCTCTCCCTCTCTCCCTCTCTCCCTTTCCCTTTCCCTTTCCCAATTGTGATCTCTCTCTCTCTCTCAAAATAAATAATAAAAATGAGGGGAAAGGGCTCCTCATCTTGGTGGGATGAACCACGTGGCCCTTGAACCCAAGACTCTGCTTCTGAGGACTTAGTTGCTCCGCTCACCGAATTGGACCAAACTGACAAACGCAGGACTGGCGTGGGTCCCTCCTCCCAGGTACTGTAGCAAAACCTGTTTGGAGGACGCAGGACCGACGGGCTCAGGAGTCAGGGAGCCGGAGTTGGCGCGGCTGGCGGCGTCCGAGAGGCCCTGACCGAGCCGCGGGGCCCCGATCTCTCCGTAGTGCCCGCAGGTCACCGTGGACGCCAGCGGGAGCTGCGTCCCGTCTCCCGGCCAGGCAGGCAGGGCGGGTGCTCGGGCCTGACTCTGCCCGTGGGTTTTCTCTCCGAACTGAGTCCCTTCTGCTGCCCAGTGGCAGCCGGTGTGCGGGCGCTGCCCGGAGCCCTTGAGTGATTTCTGTTCCTCGGGTGCCAGCTCCGTCCCCGGCACGCGCCCTGTCGCGCCAGCTACAGAGGCCGATGGGGTTTTGTAGCCCCGGGGTTCTGGTAAGCGTGGGCCTGGCATGCGATGGAGGGTGACACAATCTGCAGCTTCTCCCTCCCCGATGTCACGGGAGTGTGGGCATTCGCTAGGAGTGAGGCCCGGCGGGGGAAAGCGGGTTTTGATTCCTCAGGAAAGGGCAGGGTATGCGGATGGGCAGAATTGGGAAGGGGGCCTCCCACCAGGGCCGCCCCCGCCCCCTCATGCTGCACCTGAGCCGGTTGCACCTCCCAGGGATGAAGCTTCTGTTCGTGGGAACAGCTGGGGACTTTCCAGTCTGGAGGGTGGCACACGGCCCGCAGCCTTGGACGCTGTGACTTGGCCGATGGTCTTTAAAAGGAAAGTGTCTGTTACCAGATCCTGTGTTCTCCTTGTCCGACTTGGGAGTCTTTCTGCCAAGCTCGGCAGATAATGACTTCCATCTGTCGGGGGTAACCCACCCCGCGGGGTGCCCTCTGCCCTGGGGAACATGGCACTGCCGGGTCTGCTCGCGCACCAGAAGGCCGGCGGGGACCGTGCCGATGGGCGCCCAGCCTGAGACCCTGAGCGGCACCATCCGAAGTGACAGCAGTGAGGTTACATTTCTTTAATACTTGTACTGGTGCTAGGGGTGGGGAGGCGGGGGTGAGAGGCCTCAGTGTGTGGGGTGTGGGTGTCAAAGCCCTGGGAACCGGTGAGGTGACCTAGGGGAGGTGGGCAGACCACCCCTGGACCTGCCTCCTGACCTGGGAGAGGGCAGGCCCTTCCTGGAGCAGCCGGACTGGTTGGGGGGGGGGGGGAGAGGAAGTCTGGCTGTGAGGGAGGGAAGGATGGCCGCTGGAGCGGGAGGGGGGTGGTAAGGAGGTGATTCTTCTTATTAATGAAGGACACACAGGGAGGTGAGAAGCTTCTGTAGGGGACGGGCTCCCAAAAGGGACGGGGAGAGTTTACGCAGAGTCCGGTCTTAGTGGGGGTCCCCCTCCTTGGCAACAAGCAGGGGAGCCAGCCCCAGCACGGGGCTTTCTCTTCGGTCCGCAAACAGGAGGCGAGGTCGCCTGGGAATGAGGAGGAGGTGAGAGCCCCAAAGCTTACGGAGCACGAAGGGGAGGCGAAATTGAGAAAGGAAGAGCAAGCTGA